TTTTTTGTCTTTTTGTCTTTTTCCATGTCCGGCAACAGATCGCAACCCTCAGTGTTGCCCCCGTACCGGACCGGGGACCGGCAACGGGATCGCAACCCTCGGTGTTGCCCCCGCGCCTCGCTCAGCCAGTGAGTGGGAACCGGTCTGTATGTGGGATCCGAACCCTCGGGCGGGAGCGCCGCCGCGCTTCCCAAGCGGCGCACTATCCAGTGCGCCACCGGGCCGGCCCGGTATTGATAAGTTTTGATTGCTTTCTGTTTCTAATTTGTGTATCTACTCTACCAGTAAGTTTCATATTTTCAGGTATTTTTATGATTATTGTTATTGTTCTTTCTCTTCTCGTTGTAGTACTCTCCTGAGCATTTCTTGTAAGTCTGGTTTGGTGGTGATGAATGTCTTAGTCCGTTCAAGCTGCTGTAACAAATTACCATAAGCTGGGTAGCTTATTCAAAAAGAGAAATTGATTTCTTATGGTTCTGGAGACTGGGAAGTCCAAAATCAAGGTGCTGGTAAATTCAGTATCTGGTGAGGTTGACTTCCTGGTTCACAGACCTCATGACCTAATCACCTCTCAAAGGCCCCACCTCCTAATATCATCACCTTGGTTATTAGGATTTCAACATACAAATTTGGTGGGGGACACATTCAGACAATAGCACTTTTCATTATCAAATAAGAAAGAATGCAAAAGAGAAAAATGTACTAATGACAACCCAAAAAAGTAAAAGTAGTTATGCAGCTTTTAGCTTTAATAGAAAATTAGAGATAAAAAGGATTATTTTGTCCAGTCTTTCAGGAAACTGAAGCCCTCACTGGTAGGATGATTTGTCTAAGGTCCTAGGTTTCCTGTTGTCTGAGAATAGAAAATAATAGCCTTTGTATGTTTATGGAAATTATACAGAAATCATATGCAGATAAAGTATACTGTGCCCAAATTTCATATTTGACATTCCAGGAGACATGGAACACTATAAGCATTAAAATAAAGAATCTTTACAGTCTTCGTGGACAGTCAGCACCTTCTACACCACTGTTAATGCTATTGAGGCCACAGAATACATTTGGTTTATTTTTCTTTCTTCTTTACTACTACTGCCTTCATCTAAAATACAGTGAATAGTGTTTCGCCTTGAGTCCTTTCTATGAGCCATGTTCATAATTTGTAGGCCATTATGTTTATTTTCAGAAGAACTATTGATATAATGGAAAAATAGCTCCTCTGAAAATACACATAACAGCATTGGTTCCTAATGAAAGATTCTGGGGAAAAGACAAGCTGTTGAAATTGTGGAACAATGTGGAGAGAGGGGAACATGTGAAAGGAGAGCAGCGCAGACCCAGAATCAGACTGCTACCAACAATTTCCAGTTCTATGGAGTTTGTGCCTGATTTTGCTCACCATTGTCTCCCTAGCAGCTAACACAGTGCCAGGCACATAATAGACACTCAATAAATATTTGTTGAGTAACTAAATGCCATTTTTGCTTCCTGCCCAAGGATTTTGGCACCAATAACTATATTGTTATAATTACTGTGTGAATTTCCTCTTAAAAGAAAATAAGGTGCTGTTTAATTTTGTTTCCTTGAGACCTTAGGATTGAAAAGTCTCTTTGATATCTAACATTCAGAGGAAAAGTTGAATGCTGTTACCCCAAAGGGGAACATTTTTGTTTGTGCTGAATGTGGTTGGCCAGCTTTAAAACACACAAATAGAAGTTACTAAATAAGGAAGTGTTTTCCCATCTGCTGCATGAAAATTGCATAGGGTAATGACTTCTTTTTTGCATAGTATTTTATATATAGTTTCCTATGTCTTTTATAAATAAAAGATAGGCTAAAGCAGTAGAAAGTATAGCAAACCATCCAGTGACAAAGTAGTTTTTGCTTTTAAAACAGGAACAATTTCTCACTGGGTATGTTGGTAAATTGATAATTTTTGGGGAAAAAATTTAGTTCAAAACCAGGTCTTGTTGAAGATATGCAAGATACAATGTATTTAAACCTAAAGGGAAAAGAATCCTTTTAGTTCTTTATTAGGAAAAGTATAGTAGTATCTAGAGCAGTGCTGTCCAAGAATGTCCTGTGATGATGGAAATTTTTATATCTGATCTGTCTGGTATGGCAGCCACTAGCCACATTAGCCATTGACACTTGAAATGTGGGTAGTACAACTGAGAACTGAATTTTTAATATTATTTAATGTTTTTATTAAAAAATTACTATCCAGTAAAATTGACTTTTTTGGGGGGTCTACAGATCTATGAAATTTTTTTTTTAGTTTTGTGAATGTTAACACATGTATAGATTCATTTACCCACCACCACAATCGGGACATAGCACAGTCCCATCACCCTGAACAACCCTCTCATACGCTGTTCCCCACTCCTACCCCTGGAAACCACTTATCTGTTCTTCATCTCCTTTAGTTGGAATGTTTAAATTATTAAAGTCATTTTCTTAATCAGAAAATCATTGCCCTCAGAGGAATGAAATTAAAGTTTAAAAGAGGATCTTTTTAAAAACACAAAGACACAAAAGCCTTCATTCGATAGTGGCTACGGTTACTGCATCTCTTTCAAAAGTATATGTCTCAACTCTATGTGGTTTGGCTAATTCTGCAGTTTTTTCATGGAAAATGTTATATAGTGTAATCCAAAACCAAATATAACAATTTTCCCACTTCTTCTGTTTTGGATCATTTATTCTAGTGATTTTGTTCATAACTAAGAACAAGCTAACCAACAAGAATGATCAGAGTCTTAGAAACTTTCCATGCCATGGACACATTTCAGGTTTTCACCAAATACATAGTCATGAATTACCAAACTAAGGGAAGAAATAAAAATATGCAGTTTATTAAGTGAAAGATTTAACTATATAACTGTTATAGATGGTTTAAAATGGGATTTCCTCCTCTGAATTACTTTACATTTTTGAGTTGTTTTTATTTTATGGAACAAGGCTTTTCTCTAGGAATTAATAATAATAATAATGCACATATTTTTAACTGCCTTTTGAACATTAATATCCTATTGCTATCTCAAAATCAACAGGTCCAGAACTAAATTTATCTCCTTTCCCTTCACTGCAACTTCTTTTTTTTTTTTTTTCCTTTTTGTCTTTTTTCGTGACCGGCAACGGATCGCAACCCTCAGTGTCGCACCCATACCGGACCGGGACTGGCAACGGGATCGCAACCCTCGGTGTTGCACCCGCACCTCGCTCAGCCAGTGAGCGGGAACCGGTCTGTATGTGGGATCCGAACCCTCGGTGGGAGCGCCGCTGCACTTCCCAAGCGGCGCACTGTAGCAGTGCACCACCGGGCCTGCCCCCTTCACTGCAACTTCTTAACTTCCTCCTGTTTTCCTTTTCTTTCTGATGTCAGCTAATGATGACACTATCTATTTCCTGGCGCATGCCAGAAACCTGTAAGTCATTATAGCCAGCTCTCTTACCCTCTGTATCTCATTAGTAGGCCTTGCCTTCCTTAATATATCTTGAAACTGCCTCTTTTCTCTTTACCCCAGAGTTCATGCCTTAATTCAAGCCTTCTATTGCACCACTGTTGCAATAACCTCCTAGCTGATCTTCCTTCCTCGTGTATGACTCCACCCCACCCAAATATCATCTTCCATACTTCCTCCAAATGATTCTTCTGTAAAATGCAAATCTAATCATGTCATTCCCCTGTTTAACTTTTCCATGACTTCCCATTACCTATAGGATAAATTACAAACCATTATTGGCATATAAGACCTCATAATAGAGTAGTGACCTAATTCTTGAGCCTCTTATCTTTCTTTACTTTTTTGCTTTCATTTGTCTGGAATCCCCTGCCTCATATATTCTAGCTGATTCCTGTTTGTCCTTTAACACTCAGCTATTTTCTCCTCTAAGAAGCCTTTTCTGACCCATATTCCCAGGAATAAATGGGTATACCTTTTCTGTATTCTCTGTCCTAACATTGCTCCCTGTGACCATGTCATGTTTGTCTTTGTATCCTGAGAATCCCACTTCCTGGTATACATTATAAGTGCTCAATAAATATTAATTGTTCAGTGTTTACTTTTATATAACTCATTGGTGCTACAGACAACACTTTTCTATTTATTTACTCATATGATCCTCATAACAACCCTGGAAGATAATAGGAAATATTTTCCCATTTTTCAGATGGTATAACTAATGAGTGTGGTTGGCTAATTAGTGGAGAATTGATACTGAAACTCAAATCTTCTGACTCCCCACCCAGTATTTGTCTGTGTGTGTGTGTCTGGGTGTGTGTATCTTCATCATAAATCTTTGTAAGATGTCAGCCAAAGAGATGGCCTGGCAGTAGTTAATTTATATGCAGTAGCTGAGCTTTAAGAATATAATCATTGTTTTATAATCTAATTAGGCAAAACAATAAATATATTCTTATTTTAAACAAAAATTAATGTTATGCTTAGTAATTTAGGGGGATATAGGAGTATATACTCCAGAAGTCTATGAATACTGCCTTCGCTCATAAACCAGTGTGTTTATTCCTTTTCTTGCCAACAAAGTTATCTTAATTGAACATTTTTAAAGATTAAACTTCATATTACTTTTTATGTTCTGTAGCTGATCCTGTTTCTTATATAACCTTTTGAATTGCTAGACTGAAGTGTTTGAGTAATTTGTGAAAGGAAATGGTAGGAAAGAGTAGTTTGTGGTCTGTTGTGAAATTCTAAGGTGTGTTCCTCCTGCACGTTTGAAATGCCTGATCAGTACCACAGTCACGTACGCTTACATATAGCTTTACCATTCACGTAAGTACACAAGACATCTTGTGTTTCTTTCTAGTGAGAATAGTAAAGATGAAAACTAAAAGAGAAACTATATTAGGTTTAAAAGAGAAACTATATTAGGTTGGGTTATTTGTTTCATTCTTCTTGAATGTGGTGCAATGATTGATATTTTTAAGTCCAGTGTCATATAATTTAATTAAACTGATTTCTGAAATTTCCTTCCAAAAGGTTTCTCTGGAAGAAAAAAATGCAACTGTTATTTATGACCCTAAACTACAGACTCCAAAGACCCTACAGGAAGCTATTGATAACATGGGCTTTGATACTATTCTCCATAATCCTAACCCTCTCCCTGTTTTAACTGACACTGTGTTTCTGACTGTAACTGCTTCACTGGCTCCACCATGGGACTATATCCAAAGTACATTGCTCAAGACCAAGGGTGTGACAGACGTTAAAATTTCCCCTCAGCAAAGAACTGCAGTAGTGACAATAATCCCTTCAATAGTGAATGCCAATCAGATAACAGAGCTGGTTCCAGATCTCAGTTTAGATATTGGAACACTGGAGAAAAAGTCGGGAACTTGTGAAGATCACAGTATGGATCAAGCAGGTGAAGTCATGCTGAAGATGAAAGTGGAAGGGATGACCTGCCATTCATGCACTAGCACCATTGAAGGAAAAATTGGGAAACTGCAAGGTGTTCAGCGAATTAAAGGTAATATATCTGGTGTTATTTGTTTGATTGTTTTTGTAAGGCTGAGTTTTCTGTTTTGATTTTTTAACTTTCTGCTTTCTTCTTAAACATGGGTATTGAATGTATGGGACTAGAATGCTTACTGCTTCGTCGAAGTTAGAGGTACAGAATATTCCCAGGATTAATGTCAGTAAAGTTAATGATTATAATTAAAGGTTACATGAGCCTTGAACTGAAGTTTATCAGAAAAGGCAGCTGGGGTGGCAGTTCATGGAGTTCAGGGTTCTTATCAAAACATGTGCTGGGGTACTTGTTACCTCTACTATATTTCTATTCAGGCATGCAGAAACTTGTAGATCACAGCTACAGTGGTCATATCTTTTACTTGTTTCCAGTCTATGTCAATAACATTTTCTGCAAATAACAAAATTATTTTAAGAAAAGATGATGATAAGAATGAGGGAGAAACAATTATTTGTGGTTAATGATTCAGAAAACAGTGCCTGAAGTGGCCCAGAAATAACTGAATTAAAGAATTATGTTTCTTTTTATTTCATAGTCTCCCTGGACAACCAAGAAGCTACCATTGTTTATCAACCTCATCTTATCACAGTAGAGGAAATAAAAAAGCAGATTGAAGCTGTGGGTTTTCCAGCATTCATTAAAAAACAGCCCAAGTACCTCAAATTGGGAGCTATTGATGTAGAGCGTCTAAAGAACACACCAGTCAAATCCTCAGAAGGATCACAGCAAAGGAGTCCATCAGATACCAATGATTCAACAGCCACTTTTATCATTGATGGCATGCATTGTAAATCATGTGTGTCAAATATTGAAAGTGCTTTATCTACACTCCAGTATGTAAGCAGCATAGTAGTTTCCTTAGAAAATAGGTCTGCCATTGTGAAATACAATGCAAGCTCAGTCACTCCAGAAACCCTAAGAAAAGCAATAGAGGCCGTATCACCAGGGCAATATAGAGTTAGTATTGAAAGTGAAGTGGAGAGTACCTTGAACTCTCCCTCCAGCCCGTCTCTTCAAAGGGTTCCTTTGAACATAGTTAGTCAGCCTCTGACTCAAGAAACCGTGATAAACATTGATGGTATGACTTGTAATTCTTGTGTGCAGTCTATTGAGGGTGTCATATCAAAAAAGGCAGGTGTAAAATCCATACAAGTCTCCCTTGCAAATAGCAAGGGGACTGTTGAGTATGATCCTCTACTAACCTCTCCAGAAACCTTGAGAGAAGCAATAGAAGACATGGGATTTGATGCTACTTTGTCAGGTAATTATCACTTTTTCTTTGATTCCCCCTAATGTTCTTTTATTTCCATTTTGCTGTATCTTTTGGCTTTTATTAATAAAAATGATTCATAGGCACTACAATTCCACTTTTTGCCAGTGAGTCCTATGGAGATAGTCAGTGATGTATACAAAGATGCATAAGGATGCTTGCATCATTATTTATAATATTGTAAACTAGAAACAATAAATAAATTATGTTTCAATCATATGATGAAATGCTGTGAAGCCATAAAAAGATATGGTATTAAAGATACTTAATGCTGCAGCAAAGTGTTTGAGATATTTTGTTAAATGGAAAAAGAAAAGCAAGCTGAAAAGCTGTATATGTACTATGATTAAAATTTTATAAACAAATGTATATGAATTTATACCATGGGTATGTTATTTAAGTATATGAATGAATAAGAATTCTGGTAGGACATGAGCCAAAGTTTTGTGGGTTTTTTTTTTTTATAATGGAAAGGTTTATTACTTATATAATTGAGGTCAGATTTTAACAGTTGTTATCTTTGGGTGGTAGGATAAAAGTGACTTGTTTCCACTGTGTTTTCCTGTATAAGTTTTTTTTTTTTGCAAGGACGTATATATGTATGTATGTCTTTATATAATAGGGAAAGCAAATGTAATTTTTAAAAGAAAAAAAGGTAGAAATAAATAATAGGATTTTAACTGTAGTTTTTTTTTCCTTTTTTTAAAATTTATTTTTATTTATTTATTTTATTGAATCATAATTGATTATACATATTTTTTGGGTTCATGTTGATGTATGTTGATAAAATCAATATTATTAGCATATATACTATTACAAATCATACTTATTCTTTATGCCCCTTATGCAATCTCTCCCCATCCCCCTTTCCCTCTACCCTACCATCTCCGATAACCTAGATTTCTTCTGTCTTTCTGAAAGAGTAGCAGTTACTCTGTTGATTTGTTGCCTAGATGATCTGTCCAGTGCTGAGAGAGGTGTAGTCAGGTCCCCCACTATTATCGTAGAGCAGATGCTTCTTCTGTCACTCTGGAATGGGCTTTGTGGAGAGAGACATCTTCTTCTTTTCTTTGGTCCCCACTGGTGACTCTCCTTGTGTCACTACACTTGAGTGGTCCATCTGCATGGTGGTTGTGGCATCTGGCTGCTTTTGCAGCAGCTGTGGCTATTGTGGTGGCTGTGGTGGGCCACCCACATGGAAGTGGTGTTTTGGGCATGCTCTTTGCCTGGTTGCGGGAGGGGTTGGTTCCATGCCTCAGGACGCCGGGTGGGACCTGTGGCAGTGGCAGCATGCCTGGTTGCGGAAGGAGGGGTCGGTCTCTGGCTCCATCTGTTTTTACATTCTAAGGTGTTGTGGAGCAGTTGGGTGGGAGGGGGACAGGAGAAGGGCGAAGGAAAAAGGGTGGGAGAAAGAGGAAGGAGGAGGGGCATGGTTGAGGCGTGTGGCATCCCCCTCATTCCTGCAAGGGAGACCAGGGGGCTTCCAGTGGTGGCTTGGTTGTTGCTTGGCTGAATGCAGATGTCAGGGGGGTGTGGCTGAAACCCTTGGCCCCCCACCGCCCTGGCATGGGAAACCAGGGGGCTTCCAATGGTGGTTCAGTTGTCATTGCTGGGCAGGTTGCAGGTGTTGGGGGTGTTTGGCTGAGGCCCTTGGCCTCCCACTTCCCAGCTTGGGAGCCTGGGGCACTTCCTGCAGTGGCTTGGTGGTCATCGCTGGGCTGGGTGTGGGTGTCAGGGGGCATGGCCGAGGTCCTTGGTCCCCCACTGCCTGACTAAGGAGCCTGGGGCACTTCCTGCAGCAGCTTGGTGGTTTTTGCTGGGCTGATTGCAGTGTCAGGGAGCATGGCTGAGGCCCCTGGCCTTCTCCTCTCCCTGCCTCAGGGGCCAAGGGGCTTCCGGTCCTTCTAGATTTTATAGGTGTTCTTTGGTGAAGTGAGACCTTTACTAGTTAATATCAAACTTTGTCTCTGGTCTGTGGGTATTTTGTTTTTTCTCTTAGTTCTGTGTTGGATTATTTGCTGTTGCAACTACTTAAACTCTGCACTGGAACTAATTTGTTGTCTTTTGCTTACTTCTAAAATGGGGGAACTTCCTGTGGGGACCAACACTTGAGCCCTGTGGTTGAGCTAAATTGCTGCTTTGCTGCTGATTCCCTGGGGAAGGCTTTTTGTGCAGCTCAGGTTTTAATGGTTGACTTTGTAGGTACTTCTGGTTCTCCTGAGATCTGGTACACCTGGGTTGTGTGGAAACTCTGGTCTGGACCTAAGTCTTTTCAGCAAACTGCAGTCCCTGCAGTGCTATATTCTTGACCAGTCTACACAGAGTGGTCCTGTGCTGATTGGAGGGCAGATCAGCTGTCCATGCTGTGCCCTGATGTTCCCCCTGTGGACCCATCTCCCCCACTGCCCACACTCCAAATACTTCCCATGGGATAGGCCGTGCGCAGTCCCTTGTGATGACTCACCAGCCTCTGAGTGCCTCCTTGTTTCGGTTGTTGTGGCTTTTTGCTCCTATGTGGATCCCCAGGAACCCTGTTAGTGGTCCTGCTGGCCTGAGGGCCACCAAGGCCCTTCTCTCCCCTGCCGCCTCCAAGAAACTTCACACAAAGGGCACAGCTGCAGCTTTTGCCAGCTCTTGCTCCATGTGCTCACCAGCTCCAGCCTTAAAGTGGTTGGGGCTTGAAATGGTGGGAGTGATCTTTTCTTTCTCTCATCGTGGCTTCTCCTGCCTTCATGAACTCCGTAGGTCTCTCCTCCTCTTTCCCTGAGCTCTAGTGGCCCCAGCTCGGCTGTCATTGCTTTTTAATAGTTGTAAATTGGTTGATTTGTGGGAGAGAGTGACTGTGGTGACCATCTGTTCTGCCATCTTGACCGGAAGCTTAACTGTAGTTTAAAATTTAGGCATTTCAATTAAACTAACTCCAGAGCTGTCCTAAAGTCTCTTATTTCCTGACAGCTTATATTTTTGAACTGAAATTAAAAGTGTATATTTAATGGAATTTTCCTGTATGAACTTGTTTCAAACTGGAATTGAACCTGGCCTTGAATTAAACTTAAAGTGCACTAATAAAATGTCTTGCTTTAAGTAACAGTAGAAAAGTTATATAGCTAACTTCCAGACAATGTCATTAATCTTTGGTATTCCGGTTAAAATGAAGAATACCAAATTGTAATATTACCTTTTTAAGTTCACTAAAACCGAACCAAAAATTTTATTCAACACACTCGCATTATTATGGTAGATAAGTTCCAGTGGGTGAGGCCCCAGAGACATACCAAACATTCTTAATTTTCATATTGATGATAAATGGTAGAATTATAGAATTCTCACTTTTTAACGTTGACATATAGTTCACATACCATTAAATTCACCCTTTTAAAGTGCACAATCCAGTGGTTATATATTCACAGAGTTTTGCAGCTATCACCACTATATAATTTTAGAATATTTTCTTCACCCCCAAAAGAAACTCCATACCCATTAGCAGTCACTACCCATTTCTCCTTCCCCTTCCTAGCCCCTGACCACTATTCTACTTTCTGTCTCTAGGAATTTGACTATTCTAGGTGCCTCATGTAAGTGGAATCATACAATATTTGTCCTTTTGTGTCTCTGTTCTTTTATTTAGCATGATGTTTTCAAGGCTCATCCACATTGTAGTACGTATCAAAACTCCATTCCTTTTTATATGCCATCAGATGGATATACCACATTTTTGTTTCTTTATTCGTCAGTTGATGGAGATGGGGTTGTTTCTACTTTTTGGCTATTATGAATAATGCTGCTATGAGCATTTGTCTACAAGTTTTTACATAAACATATGTTTTTATTTCTCCTGGGTATATACCTAGGAGTGAAATTGCTGGGTCATATGTAACTCTATGTTTAAATATTTGAGGAACCTACCAGACTGTTTTCCAAAGTAGCTGCACCATATTGCATTCCCACCTAGAATTCTCAAATCTTTTTTAGAGCACAAGAATCTTGTTCTCTTTTAGGAAATCTTGTTCTCTATTAGGAAATTCATACAGAATACTAAGATGTTAAAGAGCCTCTGGTACGATCTGAACAAAATATAGGAAATCCATAATTGCAAGAGGAAATAATTATAAAACCAGAAGAAAAATTTAAATCAGAAGTATTAGAAATGCAACTGTATCAGGTAGCCATAAAAATGACTAAAATTTGTTTCAGCAAAATTTAGTTTTATCTATCACCACTTAAAAATTTTCACAATGGCAGTGTCTGAAATTATATTCAGTCACAGTTCACTATGTCATAATGTTGAATTACTTCTTAGAGTTTCTATTAAATTGAAATACTTTGGCATGTATAATTCATTATGTTCTCAGTGATGGATACCACATAAGTAAGTTTAGTTTACATCAATATCATTAAAACAACTTTACTTACATTATAATATTCCCATGCTTCTTACATATAGGAACCCAAATATAATCAACTTATGTCACATATGGTATAAAACTGAAATATTTTCACATTCAAATCTGGTATCTCTCATTGCAGTAAGCAACGGCCTCACAAGCTTTCAGATTGGAATCAAAAAGGGAATCTTTCCTAGTCACTTGGGTCCATATTTTTGCAACTTAAGGTATGATTCACAGACCAGCATCACCAGCGTCACTTGGGAGCCTGTTAGAAATACAGACTCTCTGACCCACTGCAGACCCATTAAATTAAAATCTACATTTTAATGTAGATTAAAATGATAAAGTGATTAAAATCTCTCTCCAAGTGATTTATATGCACATTAAAGTTTGTGAACACTGGTTTAAATAATTTGTTGTATTGACCTCTGTGAATAAAATCTCTGAATTAAATCGATATTAACTTTGTTTACACAAACAAGTCCAGAACCTTGATTTAATGCAATAATAATATAATATCAAATAATATAATTTAAAATAGCTAGCATTTTATGAGGTCTTATATAACAAATGTGAGCAGAGCAAAAGCAACTTTCCAGTTGCCTTAGGTGGCTTCAAAGATGCACTTAAGCAACAGGAGAAATTTTGCTCAGACTAGTAAGTGGAATTCAAGAGTACTTGTTCAGTCTCTGGCACCATTTATAGCATCTACCTAGTCCTCAGGAACCACAAATGCAGCATGTTCCTTAACTCTTAACAATATCTTTTACCTCAACCTACTATTGTTAAGGGCCATGGGAATCAATTATTCAACAAGTAATGATCAGGAGCCTATTATGTGCCCTACATCTGTTGCACACATGTATACACACATGGTGATAGATAAAACTATTACTATTTGAGAGTGAGTTGCAAACATGATGTTTATAATTGTTTTGAAGTCATCTTCAGATTATGTTTTTGTTCTGCACATTAGACCAGACACTGAACCTCCTAGCAATTTTGAGTATCAGATTGGAAATCTTTTCTTGAAATTTCTGGAATCATTTCTAATAGTTGCTTCAAGTGCAGGAAAGTCAACTTTTCTTTGAGTTCATTTAAGCATATGTAGTGTTCTTATAGCCTATAGAAAAACTAACTGAAAGAAACTAGCATCATTGATTGATTGATTGATTCATTTACTGTGGACTTTCAATACCTTCATTGCCTTTGTGGAAGATAAAAGCTTTTCCTCTTTTGCTTGCCACACTCACGGTGGTAAAGGTCACAATTTTATGGATCGTTCTTTAGTGTTCATGCTTAGGTGGCTAAAAGATTACCTCCATGACTTATTTTAATTTAATACTGTACTTCCAAAGTGTGAAATTTGTAGAAGCTATTTCAGGTTACCTCTGGTACCTAACATAACTAAATTGCTCTGGAACAAGTCATAAAGTTATTGGCATTGTAAACTTTTCTTTCATTTTCCAAATTCATACTTAAGTATTGATAATAATTATGAGAGAATGAAGGAAGCTTCTGACTAGATTAAAATAATGGTTATATTTAAACCCAAAGCAATTTCCTTTTGGCAAGTAAGCCACCGTTTTGAGTTCTTTAAGATAACAGTGGGCACTATTTGATAAATTTTGCCCTCTGTGTTCTAAATAATGCTGTCACAGTCTGAATAAATAGCTTTCTAAAGTGATTCACTTAAGAACAGAGACTAGCTACTTTAGGAGAATTTTACTATTCAAACTGTCTATTGCTATACTCAGACTGGCAACATTGCCATTGTCTGGGAGCTTGATGAAAATACAGAATCTCATGCTCCACCCTAGATGTCCTTAATCAGAATCTGCATTTTGATAAGCTCTCCCAGGTGATCGTGCATTAAAATTTAAGAGGCATTACTATACTGATCTAAGAAATCTACTCATTATTCCTTAGGGAAATGGTCTTCTTCAGCATCCTGAAAACCTATTCTGCTGTGCAAAGGTTCCTTTGTGGGCTAGCCAAATAGACCTGAACTGGTATTTTGTTCAAGAGGGAGAAAGAACAAGTTAGATAGGCTAGTGGAAATTTCCACATCACCTCTTTTACTCCTTACCTCTGCAGAAGAGGAGAAAAATCTTTGGCTTTTTTGCAGGTGTAGACATGTGTTAGAATAATTTCTTCCTTTTTGGGAGGTGTTTAATGCTGCAATGGCTATACTGAAACAATAGATTTTGTGAGACTTCAAGGGAGCTTTTGGGATGATAGGAGCTTCCACAGTTCATAAATATTCTATGTAGGGATTCTCTGAATACTCTGTGCAAAATGAAGATTACTGCTGACTTATTCCTTGCCTCTTCTTCCACTGTCCACAAAGACATTGTAAATTTAAAAAATACTATATATTTGTCTCTAATTTAAAAATTAAAACAATACAGAAGTGTTGATAGTGGAAATTTGTTCATCTGTCTGACATTCAATTCCTGCCTTAACCCTACGCCCCAGAAGTAGCCACTGTTAATAGGTAGGTAGCATCCCAGGCTTTCTTATGCATTTTCGTATATATGCATACACTCAAAAAATTTTAAATCACATCATACTGCAATGCTATTTTGCAAGTTGCTTTTTGTTCCACTTAATATACGTGAATTGCTTTAATACCAGTATGCAAACCATCAACATGATGATAAAAGTGAATTATAAAAATAAGGACTATCTGTTAACAAACTACTCTCTACCTGCGGTAGGAGGTGGAGCTAATGGCTAGAAGAACTTCATATAACTAAAGTTTTGTTTATTCAGTTAGCTTAAATTTTCCTGGGAACTGGGGTGGGCAGTATTGAAACTGGAAGTTACTGCAGGGAAAGTTTAAAGATAACATATTGCTGAGGGACCTGGTAGAACCTTGGTGGTTTTAAAGGAATGGATTGTCCATGCCTGGAGGTGTGGATTGTGATTTATGACAAAGATACAGATGGAGAATGATCAATACCGCAAATGAAAAGAATCTTTCCCTTTCCACCAGGCATAAGTGAGCCATTGGTAGTAATAGCTCAGCCCTCATTGGAAATGCCACTTTTGACCTCAACTAATGAATTTTATCCTAAAATGATGACACCGGTTCACGACGAGGAGCCAAAGACTTCATCTAAGTGTTACATACAGGTCACTGGCATGACTTGTGCTTCATGTGTAGCAAACATTGAACGGAATTTAAGACGAGAAGAAGGTGAGACATTCTTAAAAGTTATTATTTTATGTACCAGTTTAGGGACTCTGTCCTTCTTGTTCTCCTATGTGTTTTGTAACTATGTTTTTGATTTTGCGAAGGCCTCATAAAGATTATCAGTGATGTGTGGGACTATCCTGATTTCCTGACAGCCAGTTTTTTTAGTGTTTTGTTCTCTCCCTTAGATAAAGTGTCTGTCTCATTTACCTCATGATCTCATTTTCATGTCAATGAAATTTATAGAAAGGATATACACGATTACTATTCTTTATGAACCTTGGTTGCAATGGGTTTTAAGAAACATAAATTTTCTGTTAAAGCTGTGTTTACAACTGACAACTAGAATCTATTAAGAGTTTCAGTATTACCATCCCTGGACCAAGCACCAGACCAAAACCAAGTTTGTTTAGAATTATATTGTTCTTCTCTAACAGTTTGATCTCTGATCTTTGCTTGTGGTAAAAATGTTCAAAAGTTACAAAAAGACAAAAGACAAAAAAATATATATATATATAAGTTACTTAATATCGGGCCGGCACCGAGGGTTCGGATCCCACATACAGACCGGTTCCCGCTCACTGGCTGAGCGAGGCGCGGGAGCAACACCGAGGGTTGCGATCCCGTTGCCGGTCCCCGGTCCGGTGCGGGGGCGACACTGAGGGTTGCGATCCGTTGCCGGACACGGAAAAAGACAAAAGACAAAAAAATATATATATATATAAGTTACTTAATATCGGGCCGGCCCGGTGGCGCACTGCTGCAGTGTGCCGCCTGAGAGCGCAGCAGCGCTCCCACCGAGGGTTCGGATCCCACATACAGACCGGTTCCCGCTCACTGGCTGAGCAAGGTGCAGGCGCAACACCGAGGGTTGTGATCCCGTTGCCGGTCCCGGTCCGGTACGGGCGCGACACTGAGGGTTGCGATCCGTTGCCGGTCACGAAAAAAGACAAAAAGGAAAAAAAAAAAAGTTACTTAATATTGTATACAAGTATTTTTTGGTTTGTTTTTTAGCGGTTGGGCAGTAAGGAGATCCAACTCCTTTACCAAGCTCTAGCCACGTGAGCTAACTCGCCAGCCCAATCTTTTTTGGTGGGGGCAGGCAACTGGCTGGTACAAAGATCAAACCCTAGGCCTTGGTGTCATCAGCACAACACTCCAACCGTCTGACATCTACAAGTTTTAATTTTAGGTTACAAAATTTTAGAAAATCTACAACAGTTTTTTTTTTATTCAGTTACACTCAGCTTATAAATTTATACTTATATTTATAGACTTCCCAGTATAACATAGATTTATTAACCATACAGATATGTGATTATATTTAATGAGACCAAAGTCATAGGATTGGTACTGAGGCTGCCGTAACCTTAGATGTCTTAATGACACATGCCATTAGTTGGAAGGGCTGAATAAGGAAGTAAGGGGAAATAACTCAAAGTGTATGTAGTAATCACATCACCTTATATATTATGGCCAGAACATTATTGTAGCAAAATATGGTATACAGAGCCATCTTCAGTTTAATATCATTCTATTATTTCTAAGTGGAATGCAGTCAAGGCTAAAGTTTATATTACCATTTGTTTGATTAATTATAAAAGAATAGGAGGACGTTGCCAAGCAAATGAAAGCAAAAAGAACCTTCCAAGGTTCCCATTTAATTTGAGAACTGACTATTTTTGGGCAGTTCAGAAATAGCCTTTTTCATGAGACAAGCATTGCCTATGCCAATTACAAATCTTTTTTTTCCTTTTAATCCATCAAGTTGGTTCTTTCAATTACTCCATACTATCCCCTTTTACTACCTCTTAACCCAGTTAGGAATACTGTTAGCCTAGCTGGGATCACTATACTTTTTTTTTCTTTTTGAGTAGCAGTGTTCTTCCCTCGATTTAGTGTGCATTACCTTTCTAAACATGAATAGAAAGAGTTCTAATTATAGTTTGAAGAATTTTAAAAATTATCTATCATTTGTATAAGTATTACACTTATATTTTTGAAATTTGAAAAATCGTGTTTTCCCTTCTATTTCTGCCTAGCTATAGATTACATTCAACTGAATCAAAAAGGTTTTACCCACTTTCTCTATGCCCTTTTCTTATTACTGACACTTTCCTGAACTGATATCTGAATTATCTGGTTCCCATAAAGCCCAAAATGTAAGCACTTTATATAGAAAACTTATATGATATTAGATACTTTGTTTTCTTATTAAAAACTATTATTAAATTAATGTCTGTCCTTTTTTTATTATTCTATCCAGAGCTGACCTATGGACTATTGATCCCCATTTCCTGTCAGATAGTCAACAAGTGCCACAGATTCCTAGAATGGGCTGCTATTTCTGCTATGTGGAATTAATTTTATTCCTGGCAATGACAACAATAGCTGGCCTAGAGAAGTAGAACAGTTGTTAAGCAAAGGTTTGCACCACTGAACAGCATGACCTCCATAAAATAAACTCTTGTTTTAACAAGTTGTGTGGTACTTTGTTTTCTAGGAATAAGAGCTTTTTTTAGTGTGTACCAGACAGTAAAACTTGAGGATTTTAAGAAATGACTATTTGATAATATATATGTTAGTACGTTCTTAAATTCTTTGCTGTAACTGTGATGATTTCCTAAGTACATGAGTTCTTTTCTCTAGGACTCTGTCTTATTAGCTTCTAAAAATCCTTTGTGTTTACATGGTACAGTCTCAACCAATTGCAATTAATAGGCCTTTTTTTTTTGCAGTTTATACAATATAAGGCATATATGTCAGGCCTTCTCGTGTATAAAACAATTAATAGGCCTTGTATGGATCCCAATTCAAACAAAAAACTGTTAAACTAGTAAACATTTATAAGGCAATTGTAGAAATGTGAATACTACCTGGATATTTGATGATATCGAAGAATTATTTAATTTTAGGTGTGAAAATGATGTTATGTTTATTTTTAAAGTCTTTACCTTTTAAAGATACATATTTAAATATTTACACATGAAATGATATGATGTTTGGGATTTGCTTCAACATAATCTAGGTAGAAGACAGGGAATAAAATGAGTAGGAATATAGATGAAATAAAATTAGCCAAGTATTATTGATAATTGTTAAAGCTGGGTGATGGGTACACCAAGTTTATTATGTTGTTCTACACATACACACACGCACACACACACACAAATACATACATATATACATATCTATGTGTAATAAAAAGTTTAAGAAAATAAGACCACCTTTTCAAATAGTTTTATTTAGTTTGGGTTCAAAGCTTGTATAAAAGTTAAGTAATAAATTTCTTCAGGTTCACTTTAATCCTTTCACAGTTAAATGAAAAATACTAAAAAGTAATTATAACATTACTCTGTTTTTTTAATCAATGCTCCTAGGAATATATTCTGTACTCGTGGCCCTGATGGCTGGCAAGGCAGAAGTAAGGTATAATCCTACTGTCATACAACCCCCAATGATAGCAGAGTTCATCCGAGAGCTTGGATTTGGAGCCACTGTGATAGAAAATGCCGATGAAGGGGATGGTGTTTTGGAACTTGTGGTAAGTAAGAATTTTTGTGTGATTAATAAAATTTCCAGGAAAAACTTGGTGAGGGTTCAGAGAAGAGCTCTAAAGATAATTAAAAATTGGGAAAGTAGGACTTATAATGAAAATGAAGGAAACTGGAAAACAGAAGGATAAGATATGACTTAATGGCTGTCTTCAAACATGGAATGTAAAAAAAGACAATTGTTATATCTCTATTAAGAACCAAGAAAGAAGAACTGGGTTTGAATGAATAAATGAAAATGAATAAATGAAATATAGTGTGCTTCCTATTTAGTAGCATGTAAAAGAATAAATTCCAGATGCATTAAAGACTTATATTTTGTGATTGAAATCATACAACCAGGTGTAAGGCATATTGGCATAATGGTTTAAAATGGCCATTTTCTCCAACCCAACAAATCAACTGCTAGGGTTTTTTCTTGTAGAAATATGAGCACACACAAGGTTACATATATTATATAATTCTAACAGCAAAATTTAGAATCAACCTAAATATCCTTTAATAGGAAATGGTTAGATAATTTATAGACATATTATGAAAAACAATACAGCTATTTAAAATAATAAAATAGATCAGTACTACAAGTAAAGATGTCTAGGACATATTATTAGGTTAAACAGAACAAGCTGCACTACAATACTTACAGTATAATACTGTTTAACTGAAAAATGCAAAACCATATGTGTGCATGCTTATATAATAAATATGTACATAAACACCTAGAGAAAGGACTGATTTATATACATGATTAACAGTGTTTATCTTCGGAAGAGAGTGGGATTGGGGGACAAGAGCAAAGAGAAACTTGCATCTTTTCAATATTGTTTTAAAATTTTTAAACTAGAATTTATTCGAGTTTTATTTGTATAACTAAAAAAATTAAAACAAAAAATGAACCTTGTACCAATTTTTCCATGTGCATGCTAACATTTGCTATTATCTTTTTGATTATAGCCATCCTAGTGGGAGTGAAGTAGTATATCTCATTTTGATTTTGGTTTGCATTTCTCTGATGACTAATGATGTTGAGCACCTTTTCTTGTGCTTATTGGCCTTTCATATACCTTTTTTGGAGACGCTATCAGATTGTTTGCCCATTTTTAATTGGGTTGGTTATTTGTTACTGTGTGGTAAGAGTTCTTTATACATTCTAGATCCAAGTCACTTATCAGATACATAATTTTCAAATATTTTTTCCCATTCTGGCATTGTGTTTTCATTTCCTTGATGGTGTCCTCTAGAGCACAAAATTTTTTAATTTTCATGATGTCCAATTTATTTTTTTCTACTTTTCTTTTGTAGCTTGTACTTTTGCTGTCATACCTAAGAAAGCATTACCTAAACCAATGCTTTCTTCTAAGAGTTTTATAATTTTAGGTCTTACATTTAGATTGAGGATCAATTTTGAGTTAATTGTTATATAAGTGTGAAGTATTTGTCCAACTTCATTTTTTGGTTTATGGATATCCAGTTATCCCAACACCATTTGTTGAAAAGTCTGTTCTTTTCTCCATTGAATTGTTTTGGCACCCTTGTTGAAACTCAGTTGACTGAAAGGGTAAGGATTTATTTCCAGACCTCAGTTGTATTCCACTGACCTATTTGTCTATCCTTATGCGAGTACCACACAGTCTTGATTACTACAACAGATAGAGGAAGTTCCCTTCTATTCCTAGTTAGTTGGGTGTTTTTATGATAAAAAGGTGCTACATTTTGTCAAATATTTTTCCTGTGTTGATTAAGATGTTCACGTGGTTTCCGTCTTTTATTAAATATGGTGTATTAAGTTGATTGAATTTTGTATGCTTAACGAACCTTGCGTTCCTGTCATAAATCCCACGAGGTCATGGTTCTGTTGCTGGATTGGTTTTTTTTTATTGTTTTATTGAAGATTTTTGTTATCTATAGTCATAAGGGATATTGCTCTGTAGTTTTCTTTTCTTGTGATGTCTTTGTCTGGTTTTGGTATCAGGGTAATAGTGGCCTCATAGAAAGAGTTGGAAAGTGTTCCCTTCTCCTATTTTTGGAAGAGTTTGTGAAGGATTGGTATTAACTCTTCTTTAAACATCTGCTAAAATTCACCAGTGAAGCCATCTGGTTCAGGGTTTTCCCTTGTGGAAAGTTTTTTGATTACTAATTTAATCTCTTTACTTGTTATAGGTCTGTTCAGATATTCTGTTTCTTCTTGAGTCAGTCTTGGTAGTTTGTGTCTTTCTAAGAGTTTGTCCATTTCATGTTGGTTATCTAATTTTTTGTATACAATTGTTCATGGTATATTCACTGATAATTCTTTTTCCTTCTGGAGGTCAGTGGATTACCACTGTCTCTTCTTGCATTACTGATTAATATCTGGATTAATGATTTGAGTCTTCTTTCTTTTTTTTTCTTGGTCGATGTAGCCAATAGTTTGTCAATTTTGTTGATCTTTTCAAAGAACCAACTTTTGGTTTCATTGATTTTTCTCTGTTTTTCTAGTTTCTATTTCATTAATTTTCACTGTAATTTTTGTATTTCCTTCTACTTGCTTTAGTCTTAGTTTTTTCTTTTTTTTCTAGTGTCTTAAGGTAGAAGGTTGGGTTATTTATTTGAAATTGTTCTTATTTTTTAATACTGGAATTACAGCTATAAATTTCCCTCTGGGCACTGCTTTCATTTAATTTATTGTGCTTTTTAACTCCAGACTTTACATTTGGACCTTTGTATCTATCTGTAATCTCTATCTCTTTACTAATATTCTCTGTTTAGTGAGACATCCTTCTCACACTTTAATTCTTTAGACATGGTTTTCTTTGTTCACTGAGTAATTTTTAAATAGCTTATTTAATGTCTTTGTCTAGTAAGTCCAATGTCTGGGGTTCCTTCAAGGACAGTTTCTACTGATTGCTTTTTTCCTGTGTATGGACCATACTTTCTTATTTAATTACATGTGTCATTATTCTGTTGAAAATACGATTTGGCAATTCTGGAAATTAGATTCTTCTCCCTGCTCAGGTTTGTTGTTGGTGGTGTTTGTCATTGTTGTTGGTTTAGTGACTTTTCTGAACTAACTCTGTAAAGTCTATATTCTTTGTTGTGGTGGCCACTGAAGTCTCTGCTTGGTTGGCTTAGTGGTCAGCTAATGATTGGACAGTGATTTCCTTAAATGCTTCAAACAAATAAGTCTTCCAGTCTTTTCCAAGGGATTCTGTGTACATGTTAGAGCATGCCTTTAACACTCAGCCATATTCTTCCTTGGCCTTCACCTTCTGTTTGCACAGTCTAAAGGTCAGCCAGAGGTGAGAGGTTAGGGCCTTTTAGGTCTTTTCTGAGTGTGTGCACAGCCCTACTCATGTGCATGGTTTTCTAGATTCCTAGGAATATGTTGGAGCTGTTAGACATCTCGCTTCCCAGCTTTTCCTTTGAGGCTTTTGGTTAGCCTATTGTTTGCCCCAACTGTATCTGTCTTCTCAGGCAGCCATGAAGTTAAATAATTGCCTCTAATTGTTTTTCACAAATTCTCATGGGGAAAAGGCTTTTTGCACTCACTGAGCTCCAGTCAGGGCAAACATGCATTTTTGCCTGTTTTTGTAAATTTCAGGGAATCATCAAACAGGTAAAGTAATGACAGTTCTCTGGGAATGAGACTTTGAAGAAGCTCCACCCCTTTTCTACCCTCCCCAGTGGCTGCTCTGTGGCTGTTTCTCACCATGATTGTGGGATGTTGGTTTTCATGGTTACCACATAGCTGGAGAGGAGGGGATGGAAATAGGGCAAATTATAATGCCACAGAGCTAGCTGTTTTTATCAGGATTCATCTGATTTTCTTGAATAAATGCTTCCTGGATTGCTGCAGGCTTTTGTTTTATTTCTAGATTGCTGAAAAAATTGGTTTGGACAGTTTTTGCCAGTTTTCTTATTGCTTTTATGGAGGAGAGAATTTTCAGAGGTCCTTACTGAATCAGTTTTGCTGATATCCATCTCTTCAGTAGATATTCTTGAGCAAATCCTTCTTAATTTGTTATGTGGCCTTGGGCCAATTTCTACAGTATTTCAATAGTTGTTTTTGACACTTTTGTCAGTTTTATCATTCCTTTTTGAGGAAAGAATTTGACAAGCTCCTCTGTCAGTCATTCCTGAAATCCTACCCATCCATTTTAGAATTAGAACCCAACTAAACTATAAACCCACTCAAGATACAGCGGAAAATACATTTTTAGATATACAGAATTGGAATACTTTTGCTATCTATTAACTTTCACTAAAAGTAAAACTAAAGGCTGTATACTTCAGTGGGATGAAAAAATGTGGAGAGGGAGGCAAGATATTGGATACAAGAAACAACGATAGATGTCATATCTTCTATCACTGAGTAGTAGTGACAAGAAGAGGGAGACTTTTAATGAGATCCCTTTCTATCTAACTTGTTACACTTGGGACCATATCTTTGTTCAATGTAATATAAAAGTGGTATTCTATCGATCATATCTAAAGCACACTAATAGTGCAGATAAGATCTTGCATGTTATAAGAGTCCTTTTAGTTAAAAGTAATAACTCATGTTTCATGGAGGAAAAAGTATATTTCTGAATAACAAAGGCTTTGTCTTTAACAGGTGAGAGGAATGACGTGTGCCTCCTGTGTACATAAAATAGAGTCTACTCTCACAAAACACAGAGGGATCTTCTACTGCTCTGTGGCCCTGGCAACCAACAAAGCACATATTAAATATGATCCAGAAATTATTGGTCCCAGAGATATCATCCATACAATTGAAGTAAGTGCCAAGACTTACATTTCTGGGTTCTTACATATTTAAACAGCACTCCCTTGAATCACTTCTGGTTTGCATCAGATAGAGACAGTGTGAAAGGTGTGACCCCTTTGAATACTCTAGACAAGATCTGTCTCAAAATTTAGTGTAAACATGTCTGCTTTTTTTCTTGGTCTTTGTCAGGGAAAGTAAGGCAAAGGTACACTTGCACTATTAATCACTAGCAGATTTAAGTTAGAACCATAAATCACTTAAAAACATTTAGAAAATGGAAATAAAGTACAATTTGTTATGAGTAAGATTCATGTTATTCACTAAGAACATGAGGCATCCTGTAGAAGCCAAAGACCTATTTTTAAGTTAAAGTAAGACCAAACCCTTTTCTTTGTGACAAATTCATCCTGTGTTCTTCAGTAAATCTTAAGCAGTTTTGCATGTGAAAGCACTTTAAAAGTTTCAATGTGGTATAAAATTGGTGTTCTAATGACCTAAAGCATATTAACAGTTCAGATAAGGTCCTATTAGTATAGATAACAATGCCATTAACATCTTTGTGAAGCTAGCATTATTGAGTACCTATGACTTGCCAGTTACCAAGTTTGCAAAGCTTTAACTGTTATTCCCACAGCAGTGTCATCATCATCATTTTGGAGATGAGGCAGCTCAGATTAAGAGAAGTTAAGTTACTGGTCCAAAGTCACATAGCCAGTAAATGTTGTAACTGGGATTTGAGCCTAATCACTCTGACTCCAAACCTCATGCTTGCTCTGTTCAGTGTGCTACACTGCTAAGAAATGTAAGATGGTGGCATTTTCCCTAGTTTTCAAAAAGGTAGTATATGTTACTATGTTCAAATGATCTTACTTAGGTGTAGTTTCCTTTTTATACTTTGTTTTATTGGGGAAGTGAGTTTTGTTTGTGTTTTTCTGATAGAACAAGAGTAAAGACTGCATACGTGAGGCCTTGAATAATATATTTAGTATGGTGCAGTCTTTAGTGGCATATTAATGAAAAACTCTACTGAGGACAACTACACTTGAGTTAAATTGTTAATTTGAGAACAGTAGGATAGACATAACTAGAATTAAGGAAATATTTATTTCCCTGATGGTAGATTAGAAACGAATTGATTCTAGGAATCAATCCTCTTGATTACAGGAAGCATGTCTTCATCTTTGTATTCCCAAGAGACTTGCACTCAGTAGTTGAACTAAATTGTTCTTAATGACAATACATACCATGGCTTAGAATTTCTCTGCATAATATTTATACATTTAGTGAAATAATTTTTTCTCATGAATTTCCTTAGAGTTTAGGTTTTGAAGCTTCTTTGGTCAAGAAGGATCGGTCAGCAAGTCACCTAGACCATAAACGAGAAATAAGACAGTAAGTACTTTCGGAGTGTCAGTAAAAAACAGATTTTGACTCCTCATTACAAATTTATCATCCTGTTAGCATGTCAGTTTTTACAATATCATCCTTATACTGGGTAGAGTGGTCACAACCTGTATTTCTCTATAGTACATAAAATTTTTAACTGTTAGCTACTTGCTAAAATGATTTTTCTCTTCTTATTTTTTTCTGTATAAGATGGAGACGGTCCTTCCTTGTGAGCCTATTTTTCTGTGTTCCTGTAATGGGGCTAATGATATATATGATGGTTATAGACCACCACCTTGCAACTCTTCACCATACGCAAAACATGAGTAAAGAGGAAATGGTCAACATTCATTCTTCTATATTCCTGGAGCGCCAGATCCTGCCAGGATTGTCCATTATGAATTTGCTGTCTTTTTTATTGTGTGTTCCTGTACAGGCAAGTGAAATGTTAGAAAGTATATTTGTTAATAATGAAAAATAACCAAAATGTGGCAGACAAGGTTATTTTCAATGGCAAAACAGATATTTGCCAGAGTTCTGATCATTTTATGCTGCATGCTTTACAAAGTAATCTTAAACTGAGTAAAGTAGATAATAGATTACATTTAACCCCTAAGAATATTGTTTAATGACAAAGCAGAGAACAAGAGGTCAAGTTTTTTGGATTTGGTATTTATATCTGCTACCGAATATAACTTTGTATTTGTTACTTCTCCCTGGCACTTCAGTTTTTTACTTTCTGTATGTTTTCAACCCTTCTTTTGAGATAAATTTTTACTGTGTAATGGAACACTTCCATCTAATCTGTTCCTTTATCTGATTCTTATAAAAGGCAATAGTGATTTTTAAAATATCTTACTATGTTTCTCTACACTAATGAAAAATAAGCTTTACAGTTATTTTTACCAACAAAAATAGCCAGCAGATTCAATAGGTTGTGATATACCGCTTAAGTTGAGTTTTGTAAAGGGGGATGAATTTTATATAAAAAAAATCCTTGAAAGAAAGTGTAGTTCTTTTCCTAGGTTTTGTTTTTGATAGCCTCAAAAAGAAAAATCCAAGAACCATCTGACTTTCTTTCTATTATACAATATCTACTGTATCATAGAGGACAGCCCCCAGGGGTTTGCACAGCAATTTGAATCCTTCCCTTTGCATACACATCTGCTAAAATACAAACACTATTGTTTCAGTTTAAAATCTCCCCTTAGTGTTCACAGATTAGCTGAAAGCCAAAGGTAAGTGAATACTGATACTGTGTTAAGTTACTTCACATATGCAAACATATGTGAGTTTCAGCATTTTAAAAAATTCAATGATTATTGTTCTTGTATTGCAGTTTTTTGGAGGCTGGTACTTCTACATTCAGGCTTACAAAGCACTGAAGCATAAGACAGCAAATATGGATGTACTGATTGTGCTGGCAACCACCATTGCATTTGCCTACTCTTTGGTTATTCTTCTGGTTGCAGTATATGAAAGGGCCAAAGTGAACCCTATTACTTTCTTTGACACACCTCCTATGCTATTTGTGTTTATTGCACTAGGCCGATGGCTGGAACATATAGCAAAGGTAAAGTAAGAAACGGTGACATTTGTTAAAGTCTGGGGTGGATAAATGACCATAATATTTTCTAAACCAATTATTGGAAATATATGTTGATTTATGTAATTAACCATTTACTGAAAGAAGTATTTTTGTTTTCTCAGTGTTTTAAGTTAAATATTCCTTTATAAGATTTACCGAATTTATGAAATACTGTAGATAGTACAGTATGTCCATGTTTATTTTACGAGAGACATTTGAGAAGTACTTGTCATTTATTTATTAATATCATGTTATTAATTGAAACATTTAAAATAATGATGGAAAAAATTCACCCAGAGTCCCTGCTATAATGAAATCACTTTCTAATCCTATTCCACCTATCTTTATATTTAACAGAGTTGCAGTCATAGTCATACCACTTTGTACCCTTAACACTATAAAGTTTTCCCCCTGTTTTCATAGTCTAGATAATTATTTGATATTTCTGAATAGTCTGTCAAGTCAATATGCTTTAATTTACTAAACCATTCTGGTTTTGTTCTTAATTAGATCATTTCCAATTTTTTATTTTTGATAATCCTTCATTAAACATATTCATGTCTAATAGTCATTTCCATTGAGCTACTGTCTTAGGAGAAATTAGAAAGGATGTTATTGCTGGGTTAATGGGCATAAATCTTTTTTTTTTTTTTTTTTTTAAAGATGACTGATAAGGGGATCTTAACCCTTGACTTGGTGTTGTCAGCACCACGCTCTCCCAAGTGAGCTAACCAGCCATCCCTATATAGGGATCCGAACCCGTGGCCTTGGTGCTGTCAGCACCACACTCTCCAAAGTGAGCCATGGGCTGGCCCAAAGGGCATAAATCTTTCTATGGCTTGTAATGCCATAAATTGTAACATTTTTTTGTCAGCAAGGATATATCAGTGAAGTAGTTTTACTGCAACTTCATCAGCATTGCATCTTATCTAAATTCTTGCTATGTTAGTAGGCAGGGTTGCTTTAATTTGCATTTCTTCCATTAGTAGTGGCAATGAACATTTTTCCATACATTGGGTATTTAAATTTCTTCTTGAATGATTTGCCTGTTCATGTCTGTCAGGCTAGGCTAATGTCACAGAATCCTGCCGAGTGGGCCATTGTCAAGCTAGGGCTGGGTCTGGAGCTCACAGACCCCTCAAGCCCGTTCCAGACTGGGTCACAAACCCTTCATATGCCAGGCTGGGTCACAGACCCCTCACATGCCAGGCTGGGTCACCAGACCCTTTACACGCAGGTCTTTGAGCTAGGTAACCAGCAAACAGGTCCTTGGAAGCCACACATTGGAAGGCATGGCCACTTGTGCGGCGGTGGCCACCCAAGGCAGTAAACTCCAGCCAAGGTGGCAGTGCCATGCAGGTGCACTAACTCTGTCCACACACAACCTATTCACAGCAAATGCTTGGCAAGATTCTGAACATCTGAGGGGCCCTGACCATTTTCCTATATTTTCCCAACAATCCACCCCTTCAGGGTCCCTCACCATATAATCTACACATTCAGAATCTTCCACGACGTTCCCTTAGCAAGGATAAATTACCCTTACATTCACACATTACACGTTCCATCCCAGTCCCAAAAGCTTGTTGCAGCACCAACTCAGAAGCCCAAAGTCCAGTCTCCTCTGAGACCAAAAGCAAAACTCCTTCCAGCCGTGAACCTGTAAAGAGTCAAAAACAAGTTTATCTACTTCCAAGACACAGTGGGACAGATATTAGGTACACATTCCCATTCCAGAAGGGAGGAATAGAAAGGAAAAACAGTCCCCAAACAAATCCAAAACCCAAACAGGGCAAACGTTAAGTACACTCGGGCACCTGGACCCCTAAAGCGTTGGGCAGCCTCGCTCCTACAGCTCATCAAGTGCAGCCCATTGAGCTGCCTGGTGCCTGTGGCTTTTCCAGGCTGGCGCTACACACTGCCAGCAGCCCCATGGTTCTGGGCTCTTGGTGGTAGACCCACCATCCTGGCTCCACTAGACATTTCCTCAGTGGGGGTTCCCTGTGGGGGCTCTGACCCCACTTTTCTGCTCCACATTGCTCCGTATATGTCCTCCGCAGTGGCTCCACCCCTGCAGCAGGTCTTCACCTGAGTGCCCTGGCTTTTTTATACATCTTCCGAAATCTAGGTGGAGGCTGCCACGCCTCCACTGCTCTCACATACTGCTGGCCTGCAAACTTAACACAACGTGAACGCCTCCAAGGTTTTCAGCTTTTGCTCTTCGGAGGTGCTGAGGCAGGATTACTCCAGCCAGAGTGGCTGGGATGCAGGGAGCAGTTTGCTGAGGGCAATGACACTTCAGGTCTGCCCCTCGGGACAACTCAATCCTTCTAGGATGGGAGGGGCACTTCTCAAACACCCTCAGGGCCTGTGATGGGTGGGGCACCCTTCCTGACTTCTCAAATGCCTTTCGGGCATTTTCCCCATTGTCCTGGTTCTTAGCATCTGGCTGCCTCACCGCCAAGAGCCAAGATAATGTCTTTAGCAAACAGTTTATCTGCTTTATCCTTGCGTTTTTTTCTGGCTTTTGAATTACCTCAATCAGCTAGGCTTATACTGGCTATTCACTCAGTCTCAGACAGTTTTTGCAGTGTTCACCCACAGTTCAAACAGCTGCATTTTCCCAGTCCATCAAGGAGTGGCTGCCTGCCCCTGTGCATATCTGTGACTCTCCTGTAACCGCTGCCACCGAGACAGGCATGTAGTAATGGAGACTAAGTTTTCCACCTTTTCACCAGGTGAAAACATACGTGAAATTCTGCAGGGGCACCCGTCATCGGGTCATCTGCCCATCTGCATGTGGCACTCTTTTCCCGGGTTTATACAGCACCCTTCAAGCCATCGGGTTTAAGTGGCACCCTTCAAGCCATTTGCCTTCAAGCAAATGAAACATACACTTACTAAATTGTTTCTAAAGCACCTTACACTATCCACTCCTAGGTCCCATAGTTGCAGTAGCCAGGGGCTTTCCCTGTTTCTGCTGCTTTACTGTTTCAATTTCTCATGCACAACAGGTTGTGCCTGGAGACGCACGGTTTCCCCAACTCACCACTCGGTTGGTCGACTTCCCTGGTGTGAGAGGCAGGAGTGGCCAGTTGCTGCACTTCGTCCTCCAGGACATTTATCCATGCTTCCAACAATTCTGCTTTCTGCCACAAATCTCCATCAGTTTGCAGCATAGTGAGCAGCAGCCAGGCTCTGGTCAGCAGAAAGGTGGCCACTGGGCACCACATGCTCAAGGACAGCCATATTTCCTCCCCTTCCCAAGGGGTTTTCCATTGTAGTACCTGGTCTATGCTGCCTTGCAGTACACTGTGCAGCAGCCAGATCCTGGTCAACAGGAAGGTGGCCATAGGGTATGGCATATTCACAAGTAGCCACATTTCCTCCTTCTTCCAAGGGCTTTTGGCTCCTGTACCTGCTCAGAATCCTGTCGCAGACTGTGCCAATTGTAGTGCTAGGCTAATGTTGGAATCCTGCTGACTTAGCCAATGGTGGTGCTCCGGCTTGGGCTAATGTCAGAATCCTGCCGATGTTGCCAATTGTGGAGCTACAAATCCTGTTCGTGATGCCAGTTGTAAAGCTACATGACCACACCAGTTGTCGGGCTCTTTTACCTGCTGGTAATCCTGCCCTGACTGGGCTGATTGTTGAGCTAAGGCTGGGCCTGGAGCTCACAGACCCCTCAGGCCCGTTCCAGACTGGGTCACAAACCCTTCATATGCCAGGCTGGGTCACCAGACCCCTCACATGCCAGGCTGGGTCACCAGACCCTTTACACGCAGGTCTTTGAGCTAGGTAACCAGCAAACAGGTCCTTGGAAGCCGTAGGTTGGAAAGGCATGGCCGCTTGTGCAGCAGCGGCTGTCCGAGGCAGTAAACTCCAGCCAAGGTGGCTGGCGCCAGGCAGGTGCGCTAACTCCGGCCACACACAACTTATTCACAGCAAATGCTCTGCAAGATTCTGAACGTCTGAGGGGCCCTGACCATTTTCCTATATTTTCCCAACTGTGTCCTTTGCCTGTGTATCTATTGTGTTTTTGATGTTTTTCTTACTAATTTACACTATTTCTTCATGAATTATACCTAATAATAGTTTTTTATATTTGTGTACTTTATATTTTTGAAGTAGAAGATTTTCTGATTTGAACAAACTGATATTCCTAAAGCCGTCTTCTGGGTAAATGTTTAAGATTATATTTTTATTTCAGTTAAGACCTGAACTTTTTCTTTCTTAGCATTGTCAATGTGTTTGTTTCAATTTATAGGGGAAAACATCAGAGGCTCTTGCAAAGCTAATTTCCCTACAAGCTACAGAAGCAACTATTGTAACTCTTGACTCTGATAATATCCTCCTGAGGTATTTATCATCTTTTATCCCCCTTCTCTCTTTTTTTAACTTCTTATGAAAAAATTTCAAATACACACAGAAGTAGAGAGAAGAGTATCATGAACCCACAAAATCTCCCACATTTAACAATTACCTATACATTTTGCCACACTTTACTTCATCTCTCCATTTTATCTTTCTTTATGTTGTTATAGTAGTATTTTAAAGCAAATCCCAGTAATATCCTTTTACTGCTAAATATTTCTGTAGTACCTCTAAAGAATTGCTGTATTTTTATATAACTATACTACCATATTGCATCTAACAAAATGAGCAATAATTCCTTATGTCATCTAATACCCAATCCATATTCTCCTATCTCCTGTTGTCTCCAAAGTGTTTTAAGTCTCTTTGTTTGAAATAGAATTCAAACAAGGTCCATGCATCAGTGCATTTGACTGTCATGTGTCTTACATTTCTTTTAATCTAGAATAACTACTCCCTCTTTTCTTCCCTCCTCCCCCCAATACAATTGACTTGTTGAAGAAACATCCATCAATTGTTCTGTAGAATATCCCTCAATCTGAATTTGTCTCTTTGCTTCTTTGTTGTGTCATTTAACTTGTTGTATAACTCTTATGTTACTTGTAAGTTGGAAGTTAGAGCTAAAGGCTTGATTAGATTTCATTTTTTTGTATTTCTCATTTTTATACTCACACAATTGTTTAGGCAAATTTACACAATAAATAGTTTAGTTAAATAAAGCCCATTACATTATTTTTACAGCTTTGATTTAATTGTTCAATAACTGTTCAACAGATATTTAGAGTGCCTACTTTGTGCCAGGTACTGTGCCATTCACCAACAGTGAGCAAGACCGACATAGCAATTCCTAGCTTAAGTGTTGGTTTGAGCTTCTGTTGGGAGTAATTATGGAGTTAGAAACTTCACATACATTAATAAGCTTGCATGGAGAGGTCAGGGTAAGAAGCATATTGTCATGATGCTTTTCATATTAACTCCTATCCAGTGAAGAACAAGTGGATGTGGAACTCGTACAACGTGGAGACATCATTAAAGTGGTTCCAGGAGGCAAATTTCCAGTGGATGGTCGTGTTATTGAAGGACATTCTATGGTAGATGAGTCTCTTATCACAGGTATGTTCTTTCAGAGGAGCAGGAGCATGATGCGAAAGAGAAGTGAATCCAAAGTGTTAATGAAAAATAGGCATGAAAGGTGAAGCACTTTTGTAGAAACTATTAATGACTGAATTGTGAGCAGAGAATATGAGTTCTTTTTAATACTGTATTAAATCAGTTTCCTCAGATTTACTTTGTGGTTTTAGTTATGCTATTGAAGGCTCTTTTCTCTTGAAGGTTAATTACTAGAATATATAACCAAAGGAAGTTGTCTAAGTCTCCTGTACAGCCTGATAGATTTTGGCAAATTTTCCTGGGCAAATACCTATTCTGTCTTCCTACCCTAAGGACAGGTCTACTCTGAGCTTGGATAGGGCTCCCGGTTTTCTACATCAGGGTCTGCTCTAAGAGAGTAGGCCTGGAGTAGTTTTAGAGATCTTAGATAACTAAGACCAATCTGGAGCAGAACCAAAATAACACCTTTCCTATCTCAACCCTCAGGATGGTATCAGAAGAGGTTTAGCTTATGAACCACATGGAAATAACTTAGTATTCTGTGTTTCTGAATAGGGGTGCTATTTTCAGTTTGGAGTGGTTCTGAGTTCTGGGGGGCTGTCTTACACACTGTAGTGCAATTTAGTGTTCCCAACCCTGGCCCACTAAATTGTAGTTGCAGCACCCCATGCCTCCCCCCGGTCATTATTACAAACAAAAATTCCCTCCCACATTTTTAAATGCTCCTTGAAGAAAGGTTGAGAACCAGTTGTGGTAGGACTAGGGTGAAGCTCCAAAAGTATTTGCCAATACGAGCTAACATATTAGATTTTTCCAGTTGAAGGTATATCCCTGGGTTTGGCCTAGAAGTGACATAAGGAAAAAAGGGAGGGCAAATTTCATCTAGGCATTTGTGACAATTGACAAATAATGGTATGTTTCAAGATAGTGATCATTATGCTCCCTAAATCTATGTTTACTCTTCATACAGGGGAGGCAATGCCTGTGGCTAAGAAGTCTGGCAGCACAGTGATTGCTGGTTCCATTAACCAGAATGGGTCATTGCTTATCTGCGCAACCCACGTTGGAACAGACACAACCCTTTCTCAAATTGTCAAACTTGTGGAGGAGGCACAAACATCAAAGGTAACTTAATTCCCTAGGAAAATCAGAAAGTATTTTCTTTAAAGCCTTCTCAGTATAAATATCGATCTAGTTTTTATGTGTTCCTTTGATTAGTTTTAATTGCATTAATATGGAGTTTATTAAAATATTTCTGTTTGTGCTAAGTACCAAATATACTCTGTATTAAATATCAGAAAAGGAGGCTTTGTTACATATTATTATCACAATTATTATTTTTAATTCTAGGCTCCTATCCAGCAGTTTGCAGACAAACTCAGTGGCTACTTTGTTCCTTTTATCGTTTTTATTTCCATTGCTACTCTCTTGGTATGGATTGTAATTGGATTTCTGAATTTTGAAATTGTGGAAACCTACTTTCCTGTAAGTAACTTGTAACAACTCTTTACTGTATGCAAAACTTTAGGTTGTGAATCTTTTGCATAAGTAAGTGGAAATAACTTTAATAATTGCCAGTATCTTTAAAGTGCTGGAGTGAGAGGGTGATAAGAATAACATTTGCATTTCTGTTAATATAAGATTTCCTTTTGAAAAAAATTTTTACGATAACTTGTGATTTGCCAAAAGCAACTACTGAACTTTTACATTTTATGCTTAGTCTCATTTTCAGCATTTTGCTTTCACAAAGGACTATAGATATATTGAGGAAAACCTCAGTATGCAGTTCTGTCATTTACTACCATCAGTGTGATCTTAGACCACTTAATTGTTCTCTGAGCTTCAGTTACGTAACCTACAAAGAGAGGTTTTAATAATACCCATTCTGCATAACTTGCAGTTGTTGTGAAGATTAGAAAATATAGTATAAACACTTTGGAATTTATTATATGCTTTACAAATGTAAGATAATGTTACTGCCTATTCATCTAGGACTTTGATGGTCTCTAAAGTATGGTATCATAAAGTGGTAAAGTAGACCTGGACTGTGCCTCAAAATAGATAAATAACCTTTAAGTTACTTAACTTCTCTTATCCTCAGTTTTCTCATTTGTAAAACAGGGATAATACCTAGCTTACAGGATTGGAATTAGTATAGGTGAAAGCATACAACATACATAAGACATACACGTATGACGTATATGAAAGCATAAGCCTAGTTATCTATGTAAGTCCCTTTTTATTCTGTTTCCATATAGGTGTATAACTCTTAGATGAACATTTAAGTATTTGAGAACTTAGTAAGAACCTAGCATTGTAAAACCATTACTACTAAGAAAGTCTTTGCTGTGTTTCTTTATTTTAAAAAAATTCCATGCTGTACACTGTTTCACACTGTTTGTTCCTTCAGTTAAAGGGCAAGTAGAATCATAACAAGTGTGTATCTATTCCAGGTTATGGTCATTACTGTGATATGAAAAAGTTTCTTTAAATGATTCGTTTCGGTTAAGTACATATTGAACAAGAGGACTGTTGAGAAATATTTTGGAACATCTGTCCTTCAGGAATTTTTCTCACAAGTTCAGGGGGTCTTAGGAGATTTCCCTAAAACTACCAATCATATTTCTCCACATGAACAAACACTTGGTGTCGGTGAAAGCTTAACTAGCAGATATGCATGGTTCACATTGTTACATCTGAAAGAATTTTGTTGAAATATGATTAAGCTCCCCTTACATGTCGGGTGTTTTTTTTTTTTCATTGTCTTTGAAGAATACTGTGAAAGGCAAGTTTATGGTCTTAGTATGCAAAGATTCGGAGTTCCATTTGTTCAAGATCAAATTTGTTGAGAATTATGTCCCAGGTTTGCAACTATTCATGAAAGTTCCAAATAAAACACTTATTCTCAACATGGGACCAAAAATAGAAAAAGTGGAATTTGATATTCCGTACATTCACTCCATAGTTTCTAACTCTGGAACCATCAAAACTGAAATTTGGATTTAGGACTATGATTTATTTACCAGTTATGTCACAATTTCTTGTATTCGTAAAGGAAAAAGAAGTGTTTTCTTACTAGTAACAAGACATGCGTGTTGGTAGCTAAGTAGGATATATGAGTTTGAAATCGTGTTTTCATTTAAATAGGGTTAAGCTTTGTTCCTTTTGTTTTGTACAGCTCTAAATCAATAACCAAAATGTATGCCTTTCTTCTAAAGGGCTACAATAGAAGTATATCCCGAACAGAAACGATAATACGCTTTGCTTTCCAAGCCTCTATCACAGTTCTCTGTATCGCATGTCCATGTTCACTGGGACTGGCCACACCAACTGCTGTGATGGTGGGTACAGGAGTAGGTGCTCAAAATGGCATACTAATCAAAGGTGGAGAGCCATTGGAGACGGCTCATAAGGTAAGACGGTCCGCAGAACTAAGAATTGTCCCATCCAAACTGGCAACAGCACCCCTATTGAGAAACAGAGTTCGAAGTTATTTCCATGTGGTTCATAAGCTGAGCCTCATCTGATACTGTCCTGAGGGTTGAAGTAGGAAAGGTGTTATTTTGGTTCTGCTCCAGATTGGTCTTAGTTATCTAAGATCCCTAAAACTATTCCAGGCCTACCCTCTCAGAGCAGATCCTGTTGTAGAAAACCTGGAGTCCTGTCCAAGCTCAGAGTAAACCCAACCTCAAGGCAGGAAGACAGAATAGTTATTTGCCCAGGAAAATTTTATATAGTTTAGGAGGCTTCTAACCTATTTGTGTTTATTGGAACTAGTGCCTGCAATTACAGTGCAGTCTTTGCCTTTGCTTCCACCAGCTGGCAGTTTGCAGCTATGATTCAGGAATATAATCCTATTGCTGATCTCTCTCATATTAGGATTTCCATAACAGTCTCAATTAAGGCTACTTTGACTTCAACTAAAACCATGTTCCTACTAGTATGTTCTTACTAGTATGTTCTTATTATGAGGATATAAACTATATTCAGATACATGTTATAAACAAACATAGCTTAGAAGAAATCTAGAACCTCATCTAGCCAGTGAATGCAGGCTAGTAATTTTTATAGAAATTTTCAATTTTGATATAATTTCAAATTTAAAGAACAGTTGCAAGATTAGTACAAAGAACTGTACACCCTTCTGTATACAGCTGTCAGGCTTCTTTCCTAAGAACAAGGACATTCTCTTATGTAACCAGAATACAATTTTCAAAATCAAAAAATTAAGATTGATATAATACTGTTATCTAATCTACAGCCCATGTTCTAGTTTCCTCAGTTGTCTCAATAATGTCCTTTATAGCTATTTATTCTTTTGTCCAGAATCATGCTTTGTATTTAGTTGTCATTATCTCTTTCATCTCAGTTCCTTGGGCTATTAATTTTTCAAGTTTCTTATTCCAAATTCACTGTGAGGTGACTGTTCTCTAATTCCAGACTTCCTTTTTTCCTATCTGGGCTGAGGTTACCACATTGGTTCCCTGAGCTGTCTCTTCTTAGCCCAAGTTCTAACCTAGACCAAAAGCCAAAGCAACCCAGCAGGTCTTATCTGGTGTTCACTTCAACTTACTTACCTTTTCTCTTGTCTGCCTACTACTCAGATTTCCCCAAGAATCTATAATCCATTAGTATTTGACAGCCTTTCCTTTTTCCCTGAAGGCATTAGAGGTATCTCTTAATTTCTATTAACAATCAACCCTTAACAATTAGCTCTACTTGTTTAAAATATATTCAGTCATTTAGCATAATTAAACAGTTGAACTTTTGCAGGGGGTGAATATTTCTTTTCTTGTTCTTCCTTTTGTTCTCCCAAAGACAGTCAGTTTATGAAGTCAAATTAAGTCAAAAGTCAGTTTATTAAGAAACAAAATACAGGTTGAGTATTCCTTATCTGAAATGCTTGGGACCAGAATTGTTTCAGATCTCGGATTATTTTCAGATTTTGGAATATTTGCAGATAACTAGTTGAACATCCCTAATCCAAAATCTGAAATTCTCCTTTGAATATCATCTCATTGCTCAAAAAGTTTTGGATTTTGGAGCATTTTGGATTTCAGATTTTCGGATTAGGGATGCTCAACCTGTAGTAGTCTGTCAAAGCAAACCTTTTTCTCATTTCTGGAAAGGTGATGTTAAGGATTATCAAGTGATAGAGCTGTATTGTATTTTAATTTTCTTACAGGTAAAGGTAGTGGTATTTGATAAGACTGGAACCATTACTCATGGAACCCCAGTAGTGAATCAAGTAAAGGTTCTAGTGGAAAGTAACAGAATATCACGCAAGAAGATTCTAGCCATTGTGGGAACTGCTGAAAGTAACAGTGAACACCCTCTAGGAGCAGCTATAACCAAATACTGCAAGCAGGTACATTTTTTTCCTTGTTTGTTAATGTAGTCATGTCCTGTAGGAATCACCCAGATCAGACTTATACTGGTATTTGGCTATGATTTACATATATGGTTGGTATGAGGCTAAAGACACTTGTATTTTCTCATTTAATTTTATATATCAGTTTCTTCATACAGACAAATTTAAAGATAAAAACAGAAATGAACTGTAATCCTACTTCACAGATAACTCCTGTTGGCATAAATCTTAAAATAGAAGTAATCCATGTTTATGGCAGGAAAATTCAGATCAGAGAATTACATAATGCCTCACTCCCTGCCCCCTTCCATAATTCTTCTCTCCAAAGTTTAACAACTGTTAACCTGTTAATAGTCTTTTTAAATGACAACTTTATTGAAATATAATCATATACTATGAAGTTCACCCTTTTAAAGTTTACAATTTAATAATTTTTAGTATACTCACAAAAGTGCATAGCTGGTAACTGTTTTTAAGGCATACACCAACATATATGTATTTATCATTTTCTAAACTTTACACAGAAAGGTCACACAGTGACCAGTCTTTGGTACCTTGCTTTTTTATTTTATTAAATTAATTTTCCATATCAGGAAATACAGAGCTGCCTCATTGTTTTTAATGGCTGCATTGTATTCTGTTGTATGATTGGTTTTTTGGCTTGTACAATGTACATTGAACATCCTTGTCAGCTTTTGCAAGTCTATCTCTATATTAAATGCCTATCAGTGCAATTGCTAATAAAAGGATGCATGCAGTTAAATTTTGATGAATATTAATAATGCCCATATGATGAATTTTACCAGCACCCATACAACAGGTTATACCAGTTTATACTTGCACCAAAAGGTGTTCATTTCCCCACATTCTTACCAATACTTTGGTTTTTCCAGTTTAATAAGTGAAAAATATTTACTTGTTGATGGTTTTCTTTGCATTTCCTTAATTATGAGTAAGGTTGAGTCCCTTTTTATATGTTTATTGGGCATTTGAATTTCTTTTTCTTTAACTTGTCCGCTTGTATCCTTTGCCTATTTTTCAATAGGGTTGTTTGTCCTTATATAAGTTCATTATGAATTAGCTCACATTAATTTTACACTTAATATGTGGCAATTTCTACTATTGGTGTTACCATTTCTTTATTTTTTTTCCTTTTTACGTATTAACTGTTACTGACCTGGCTTCTTTATACCCAAATCACACAACAGAAAGGATGAAGATATAAAGAGCCAGGAAACAGTGATGACCTTCAGAATGCTTTGGCTTACTAAGAACACAGAATCAGACTAGAGAGCCCTCTGGTAACTAAAGGCCCTATTCTTTGTTACCCTTTGCCCTGTACTGAATAGAAAACCTAACTTGACTATAGAATTAAGAATTTAACTTGTAATTTTTTCCGGGAAAGGGCAGAGAATATTGGTAAGCCTTTCATGTTTTCTATAAATTTTAGAGAGTGCAATTCAAACAAAGGATTCTGAGGCTCTCCTGTAACTTTGAATGTCATGCTCAAGGCTCTATTCCTTCATCCTTATCAAAATCCACTGTCAAGTAGGCAAGGATAAGTGAAGGTTTTATTCTAAGCATTTAAGCATTTAGAATTAACCAGGCATATAGCATGTGTCTAAACATTTAGAATTAACCAGAAGTAATCTTTGATCTTGCTAGTGGATGACCTTGAATTCTCAAAACAACAGAGGAAGTACTTCTGTTTCTATTTGTTAGGAGCTGGACACAGAAACCTTGGGTACCTGCATAGATTTCCAGGTTGTGCCAGGCTGTGGTGTTAGCTGTAAAGTCACCAATATCGAAGGCTTGCTGCATAAGAATAACTGGAAAATAGAGGAAAATAATATTAAAAATGCATCCCTGGTTCAAACTGATGCAAGTAATGAACAGTCATCAACTTCGTCTTCCATGATTATTGATGCCCAGCTCTCAAGTAAGCTAATTTACTTTTAGTACCAATTATGAGGCAGTTACAAACAGATGTCTAACTTTATAACCCTGAACTGTTATATAAGAAACATAACTTGGAATCAGGATTTCATTCTCAACTGAATTTTACCATATGCCTTCTGATCACTTCACTCAAGTTACTCGAGAATATTTCCCAATTGTGCTCATTGATACCACTATAGGTGATGATGTCTAGCCTTAGCTGATCTTCCACGGTCCTTCTTTTCTCACTACAACTACTCCCAACATTTTATATCTTTCACAAGATCCTGTGATCCTCTCCCTCATCGCCTTTGTAAATTACCTTGTTTATTTTTCATATAGAAAATTAGGGTTCTTGGGCGTGTGTTCTTTTAAATATTTTTTGCCCAGAATTATTCCTTTTTCAGGAGAAGAGGTATCCCTCATCTTGCCTAATGAATCTCTTCTTGTTTGCTCTAGATCCCACCCTCTCTTGATTCCTCAGGGACCTCCCTCTTTCTCTTATGTTCCCTTGCTGCTTTATTTTTCATCTCTTTCTGAAGTAGCTTCTTTTCCTAAATGTATAAATATTTCTTCCATGAAAATCACTATATTCTCATCTGGATTCTGTCCTTTCCCATTTAGATTCTTTCTTTTCCCTTATATCTAAGCTTCTAGAAAGAGTAGTCTAAGCTTGCTGAATTCACTTAATCTCTGCAAAGTCATGCCTAAGTTCACTGCAGTTTGGCTTCTGCCCCATCCATATTATAGAAGCTATTCTAAGTCCACTGATGAACCTCAGTGCCCTCTCTAGTGGTCACTTTTCAGTCTTCATTCTGCATGACCTCACTAAGGCATTTGACAGTGTTGACCATTTCTTCCTTTCTAAAACTCTTTTCTCCTTTGATTTCATGATGCTGCTTTCTTGAGATTCTTCTCTCACGTCCCTGGCTAATCCTTCTCATTCACCTTTGATTCCTCTTTTCTCCTGCTCTTAAATGTTGGATGTCCACAGGGTTTTGTTGTCTTCTTTTCTCACTTTGCATACTCTCTCTATGTGATCTCATGCTCATCACTTATTCTGCTACCCATAGTTGTCCACTTACCACTCCAAAATCCATATCTCTAGCCAAGGCCTGTTTCCTGGGCTTCATGTTGGTCAATCTGTCTACCCCCAAAACATGATCTACCCACCTAAGTGTTCCAGCACCTCCCTACCCATTTGTGCCTGAGTGATTTTGCTAACATACAAATCTGATCCTGTCACTTTCTGATCGATACCTTTTATTACTGTGGCTTATAAACTATTTTTGAATCATGGATCTTTGGAGGAATATGATGAAAGCTACAGACCCACCCTTCAGAACATTTTTGTTTCACAAGGTTCACATATGTCCTGAAGTCCATCTATGGGTCTCTGTTAAGGATCCCAGATTTAATGGTTCTCTCTCTACTGCAGGACAAAGTTCAGTTTCTCTGAACTTTGTTCCTCATGATATGTCTCCTGCCTCCCTACATCACCCATCTTGTCTTTTTCCACTGCCCCACAGGTACTCTGTGTTCCATCCATACCAAACTACTTACAGTTTTTCCTTACAGTGTGCCATTTCCTGATTATTAGATTATTTCATTTACTATTTTCTCTATGTAATATTCTTGTCCAAAAATGGCTTGTGAACTTACACTTATGTTTCAAGACCCAGCTCACATCTCTCTTCACTGACTGACATATGCTGGTAGAGATGTTTGCTCTTCTTCTTGAGTTAATAACCATACTTAATCTCTATTAGTGTACTAGGCGTACTGCGTGATAATTATTTACCTGCTTGTTTCTACTAGTCTGTGATTTCTTTATTTGTCTATGAACTTATAATATCAAGCACACTGACACATAGGAAATTCATTTGACAACTTTTTTTTTTTCATTGAATCAGAATCGATTATACATATTTTGGGGGTTGAACGTTGAGATATGTTGATTAAATCAATATTACTAGCATATATATTGTTACAAATCGTAATCATTCTTTATGCCCCTTGTCCAACATCTCTCCTTCTCCCATTCCCTTCCCCTCCCCCCTCTAATTGCCCTAGATTTCTTCTCTCCTTCTGAAAGAATAATGGTCACTTTGTTAACTTGTTGCCTAGATGATCTGTCCAATGCTGAGAGATGTGATCAGATCCCCCAATATTATCATAGAGTAGTAGATGCTGCTTCTGTCATTCTGAAATGGGTTTTTTGGAAAGAGACAGCCTCTTCTTTTCTTTGTCTCTGCTGGTGACTCATGTGAATGCACTCCAGTGGCTGGCGGACCCTCAGTGTGGTGGCTGTGGCGTCTAGCCGCTTTTGCAGCAGCCATGGTTATTGTGGTGGCTGTGGTGGGCCACCCACGTGGCGGTGCTGTTTTTAGCGTGCTCCTTGGCACTGGCGGTATGCCTGCTTGTGGGGTGTGTTTGGTCCCCTTCTCCATGCCTCTGGTCCCTGGGCAGGCCCCAAGGTGCTGGCGCCATGTGCCTGGTTGTGGGAGGAGGGTCTGGTCCCCTTCTCTATGCCTTGGGTACTGAGGTGGGCGCTGAGGTGCTGACGTTTTGTGCCTGGTGTGGGAGGAGGGTCCAGTCCCCTTCTGCATGCCTCTGGACCGGGCGGGCCCTGAGGTGCTGGCACAGTGTCCCTGGTTGTGGGAGAGAGGTCCAGTCCCTTTCTCCTAGCCTCGGGTCCCTGGGTGGGCCCCGAGGTAAAGGCGTGGTGTACCTTGTTGTGGGAGGAGGGTCTGGTTCCTGGCTCCATGCCTCTGGTCACTGGGTGGGACCCAAGGTGCTGGCATGGTGTGCCTGGTTGTGGGAGAGAGGTCCAGTCCCTTTCTCCTAGCCTTGGGTCCCTGGGTGGGCCCTGAGGTAAAGGCGTGGTGTACCTTGTTGTGGGAGGAGGGTCTGGTTCCTGGCTCCATACCTCAGGTCCCTGGGCAGGCCCCAAGGTGCTGGTGTGGTGTGCCTGGTTGTGGGGGGGGGGTCCAGTCCCCTTCTCCATGCTTCAGGTCCCCAGGCTGGCCCTGAGGCACTGGTGCAGTTTGCCTGGAAGTGAGAATGGGGTCCGGTCCTCAGATCCAAGCCTCCAGTTCCCAGGCAGTCCCCAAGGTGCTGCTGGTGTGCCTGGGCCGGAACTAATTTTTTGTCCTTTGCTTGCTTCTAACACGGGGGAACTTCCTGTGGGAACCAGTACTTGAGTGTGTGGTTGTTTAAATTGCTACTTTGCTGCTGTTTCCCTAGGGAAGGCTTTTTGTGCAGCTCAGGGTTTAATGGTTGACTTTATAGGTACTTCCGGTTCTCTAGAGACCTGGTGGATCTGTGTTCTGTAGAATCTCTGATCTGGGCCTGAGTTTTTTCATCAAATTGCACCGCATGCGATTCTGCATTCCTGACCAGTCTCCTTTGAGTGGTCCTGTGCTGATTGGGGGGCAGATCAGCTGTCCTTGCTGTGTCCCAGTGTTCTCCCGGTGGGCCTGTCTCCCCCACCACCTGTGCTGCAAACACTTCCCATGGGATGGGCCCTGCGCTGGTCCCTAGCCATGACTCACCGGCCTCTGAATGGCTCCCTTTTTTCATTTGCTCTAGCTCCTCGCTCCTGCGTGGGTCCACGTGAACCCTATTTGTGGTCTTGCTGTTCTGGGGGCCACCAAGGCCCTCTTCTCTCCTGCTGCCTCCAAGTAACTCCATCTGAAGGGCACAGCTGCAGCTCCTGCCGGCTCCTGCTCCATGCGCTCATCAGCTGAGCCTTAAAGCAGCTGTGGCCCGAAATGCTCAGAGCAGCTTTTTCTTTCTCTCATCGTGGTTTCTCTCCACTTCATGAACTCCGTTGGTCTCTCCTCTTCCCCTGAGCTCCAGCGGCCCTGGCTTGGCTGATGTTACATTTTTATAGTTGTAAATTTGGTTGATTTGTGGGAGAGAGTGGCGCTGCAGACCGTCTATTCTGGCATCTTGATTGGATCTCCTCTTTTGACAACTTTTATTGAGCACCTGCTATGTGCCATGTACCATTCAAGGAACTAAAGCATTAGGAGTGAGTAGGTTAGACAAAGTTTCTGTCTCATGAAGCTTACATTCTTGGTGGGAGAACACAAAGACAGTGAGAAAATAAATAAGAAAATATAGTATGTCCGATGGAGGTAGTGCTATGGAGGAAAATAAAGCAGGGGAAAGGATATAGGGAGTTCTGGGAACAGTGGGTCCGTTTCATATAGGGTGAACAGTGTAGGCTTCTCTGAGAAGGTGGTGTTTAAGCAAAGACCTGAGGGGGTTGAGGGAAAAAGCTATGTGAATATCTGTGATGAGAACATTCCAGGCAGGAGGAATAGTAAGTACAGAAGCCTTGAGTTGGGAGTGTGCTTGACTTCTTTGAGGAACAGTAAGGAGAAAAGTGTGGCAAGAGCAGAGTAAATTAGAGGGAAAGGGGTAACAGGCGAGGTCAGAGAGGTAGTGTGAGACTATGTCATGTAAGGACATAGAAAGGACTTTGGTTTTTACCCTGAGATGGGAAGTCATTTAATGGTTTTGAGTAGAGTGGGGACAGAATCTAACTTAATGCTTTAAACGTGCTTCTCTGGCTGCTCTGGTAAAAGTACACTGTGGAGATGGGGGTTGGGAGCAAGGGCAGAAGCAGGGAGATGAGTTAGCGGGCTGTTGCCATAATCCTGCTGCAAGACAATGGGGCCTGTGGTCATATTCTAGGTGTGTCTTGAAGGGAGAGGTGACAGATTTTCTCATGGACTGGATATATGGGGTATGAGAGAAACAGGAGTCAAGAATTATGCCAAGGTTTGTGGCCTAAGCAGTTAGAAGGATGGAGTTACCGTTTAAATAAGATGAGGAAGACTATAGGAGGGGTATTATTGGGGAAAAGATCAGGAGTTCAGTTTTGTACATGTTAAGTTTGAGTACCTACTAGGTATCCAAGTGGAGATGTCATATAAATGGAAATATCAAGTAGGCAGTTGGCTACACAAGTCTAGAGTTCCAGGAAACAGACTGGGTCAGAGATATAGATTTGGGAGGCATCTGTTTGTAAATCTATGGTGTCCAGTATAGTAGCCACTAGTTACATGTGGCTATTTAAATTTAAATTAATTAAAATTTATTTTAATGTACAATTCAGCTTTTCAATCATACTAGTCCCATATCAGTGCTCAATAGCCACATGTGTGTGTTAGTGACTATTGTATTAAGTAGAGCAGATTTCCATCATCATAGAAAGTTTTCTTGAACAGTGCTGGTATAGATGGTATTTAAAGCCATGAGACTGGAGAAGACCCCCCAGGTGTGAGAGTAGATAGAGGGGGGAATAAGAGTTAAAGACTGAGCCTGACAGCACTATAAATTACAAGGTCAGGGAGATGAGGCAGCACTATAAATTACAAGGTCAGGCAAAGAGGACGAGAAGTGGTGAGTGAAAAGGTAACTGATAAGAATGTGGTGTCCTAGAAGCCAAGCAAAGAAAGTGTTTCTAGAAGGAAAGAGTCAACAGCTGTGTTAAATGGTGCTAATAGGGCAAGTAAGATGAGGCTGAGAAATAACCATTAGGTTTATTAAAGTAAAGGTCACTGGCATACTCCCATAGCAGCCAGCCGCCAAAAAAAGAAAAAAATCACTGTTTATGCTGTATGAACAATTCATTGGAGTAGTAGAGACAAAAGCATATTGGACTGGGTCACAAGGGACTGGGAAGATATGAACACTTTTGAGAAGTTTTGCTAAGTACAGAAGCAGAGAAATGTAGCTACAGAGGTAGGTGAGATCAAGAGAGTTTTGTTTTAAAGATAGGACAATGTACAGCAGAGACAGAAATGTTGATTATGCAGGAAAGGGTAGAATTGTTGGAAAGATGTTCTAGAATAGGCAAAGGAGGGCGATCTAGTGCACAAGTGGAAAGGTTGGCCCTAAATAGGAGCAGGGTCAGTTTATAATAACAGAAGGGAAGGTAGATTATGGACACAGCAGGCACATGTAGTTGGGTAGATGTGGCAATGAGAGTTTGTGGAAGTTCTCTTCTGATTGTTTCTATGTTCTTTCTAAAGTAGGAAGCATAGTCATCATCTGGTATGAGAATGGGGGAGGAGAAGTTGGAGATTTGAAGGGAGAGGAGAAGGTATGAAATAGCCATCTAGAAGAAATGGAGAAGGAATGGACTAGGGAAATATAGTCAAATTGCCAGAGAACACTGAGGGCCCACTTAAAGTTAGTTTAAAATGAGACATCAACATGGTTGTATGTTTTTGTCCAACCACATCTACCGATGCACAATAATTATTTTGAATTTAATTGAATTGCTATGGAAGTCCAAGGGGAAGCCTCACCAAAAAAGTAACATTTGAACTGGCTCTTGAAGAATATACTGGATTTGCTATTTGGAGAGGAGGGGTAAGGACATTTCAGGTAAAGGCAGCAACATATGCAAAGGCCCAGAGGCATGGCAGAGCAGAGTATGTTCCTAGAAAATTTGAAAATCACTGTTGTAGGCTGTGTTCTACCAGTACTACAGTGTAGAGACTGTACGAGGTTAGATAGAAAGAACTTGCCTCATGGGGTTATTATAAAGATGAAATGAGCTCACTGAATGTTATTTCTGTACTTACTTTCAGATGCTCTTAATGCTCAGCAGTACAAAGTCCTCATTGGGAACCGGGAGTGGATGATTAGAAATGGTCTCATCATTAGTAACGACATAGATGATTTCATGACTGAACATGAGAGAAAAGGTCGGACTGCTGTACTGGTGGCAGTTGACGGTAAGGTTTTCCACTTAGTTATTATTTTATGTGTATTTTTGAGAAACTTCAGAAAAATTAGTTTTGAAAAAGGTAATTCAAAAGCAGCTTGAATGGAAAGTGAAAATGTTAGCAACACATGATTTTTACTGATTGATTAAAAATTCTCTTGTATCTGCCTAGCTTTATTTTATTTATTTATTTATTTTAGTATTTTTGTTTTTATTTATTTTTAGCCTATGTTTTAAATGAAAGCTAGTAAAGAATTGTTTTAAAGCCTAAAAATAACATAACATTAAATAATAGCAAAATAAGATAATATTCATAATCCTATCATCCCAACAGTGTCAGTTTTAATTGCATATATTCCATTCCTGGTTTTGTTGATTTATATTTACAAAATTATAGTAGTAGTACGTATACTATTTTTTAATGGGTACATTTTATTGCATGTAAATTTCACCTCAAAAGTTGAATAAAAATTTAAAATTCCTCTTACACATGCTATTTTATCATGCTTTATTTTACTTAATAATAAATATTTTCCTATGTTGCTATATAAACATCTTTGAAGCTTTAGGTGCTTTCTCTTGTTAAATTATTTCTTAGGGTAAATTTCTACTTGTGAGATTAATTACTCAACATTTATAATCCTTGTTAAGTAAGAAGGCAGTATCTTACTATGGCCTTTTTAGGTCCAGGAAGAAGCAGAGAATACCATTTTACTTTTGTTTTTTTAAAAGGAGTAAAATAAATACTTGCAGTAATTTTTTTCCCAGTATAAAATGCCAGTTTTGTCTCCATTCACACCCCCCCACACACACATTAAAAAGAAAAAAGTATTGGTTTTCAGTTTCATTTTCAGCCTTTAAATTAGCTAAAGTATTTGGGGCCATTGGCAAATACCTGTCTAAGGAAAGAAAAAATGTCTTTTAGTATCCAGTAAGATCTCTCTTTTCATTTTCCTATTACCACCTTCATTATTGGTAACCCCTACTTTACTCTGTGAAATTTTCGTAACCAAATATAGAGGTTTGTCACAGGGTTTGTGGCCTAAAGTCTGTGTGGGCTTAGAGATATTTTGAGTTAAGTCAAGTCCTGAATAACTTTACTTAAAATTCATTTCTTTCTGAAATTTTAAGTCAAAATATTATTCTGCTTTCACCGGATTCCAAACTCTCTTATTTTCTGCTTCTCCTAAATTAGATGAGCTTTGTGGCTTGATAGCCATTGCTGATACAGTGAAGCCTGAAGCAGAACTGGCTGTCCATATTCTGAAATCTATGGGCTTAGAAGTAGTTCTGATGACTGGAGACAACAGTAAAACAGCTAGATCTATTGCTTCTCAGGTAATTGGTTTACTTAATTGTTGGGGTGGGGGTATGTGGTAACTTCTAATGCTTTACACACATTTTATTTCTTGCCTTCAGATGCTAAGAAATTCACAGTACCTATTATTTTCATTACATTGAGTAGTCCTATCTGGTTCCTTAAGGAAGAATTAGCATGCTATGCTGGAAGGACTTTGGGCTTTGTGTGTTACTAGTCTAAGTAAAAAAGTATTTGCTTAGCTCATGGGATTCTTGAGTGACACTGTGCATCAGTTTCTGTTGATGCTTCCTTTTAAAAATGTTGCTCATATTCTACACCAGTGTTGCCAGCCTAAGCCGGGCTCTCGTGATCTCATGCCTGAAATACGGCAGTAGCTCCACACACGTCCCTCTCTAGTCCACCCTGAAAGCCATTGATGGAACCATTTTCTTAAGGCACCACCTTGATATGCCATTTTTCTGCTCCTGACTCCCACATTTGCCTTACCTCCAAAATTTTTCAATCTTTTCTACTTTGGAATGCCTTCTCCCCTCTTCTAGTAAATAACATGAGAAATATATGAATACACTCTTGCATAAAAAATACAGAAAGATATAAAGTAAAATGTTTGTCACCCTTTTCCCATGCTTCCTATCTCGTCCTAACCCCCTCCCCCCATTTTTCATATGCATGTATGTTCATATACAAATGCATAGTTCTGGTATTTTCAACATCAATTGGACCATTTTGTACAGATTGTTTAGTAGTTTGCTTTTTTTTTTTTTTAACATAACAATATGCCTTGGAGCTTTGTCCATGTCTGAACATATAAAGTTATTCTATTCTTTCTATACTGCTGCCTGAAAGTCCATGGTATGGATGTATAATAATTTATTTAATCATTGTCCTAATGATGGACATTTAGGCAGTTTTAAAAATTTAGTAGTTGCAAACAGGGCAATAATGACATCCTTGGATGTGTGTCTTTTTGTATATGTATAAGTCTGCTTAAAATGTAGCTAGAAGTGGAATTGCTAGACCAAATGATGTGCACACTTTAATAGATGCTGCCAAATGCCCTCCAAAAAAACAGTATAATTTACACATCCACGAACGGCGTGTGAGAGAGCTCATTTCTCCACATCCTTGCTATCACTGGATATTATCAGTCTTTTAAAATGTGGACATCTGGTGGTTGAAAAATGATGGTTCATTATTGCTTAGTTATGTTTCAGGTATTCAGTATCATTTCTTGAAACAAATTGAGTTTATTTTTCTCATGTAGGTTGGCATTTCTAAAGTTTTTGCAGAAGTTCTACCTTCCCACAAGGTTGCTAAAGTGAAGCAACTTCAAGAGGAGGGGAAACGGGTAGCAATGGTCGGAGATGGAATCAATGACTCCCCAGCTCTGGCAATGGCTAATGTTGGAATTGCCATTGGCACAGGCACAGATGTAGCCATTGAAGCAGCCGATGTGGTTTTAATAAGGGTAAGTCGTGTATTCTGATCTCTGAGGAGTGTGAGACTGCCCTACACCATCAGTGGTAGTGTCATAAAGTATATCTAGCACAACGATGCTGCCCTAATTCCCATGTTCCCAACCATCGAGACTGTGAGAATCTGGGGTGGCAGTATGGGAAGTCTTACTAGTTACTTCCTGACTTTCTCAACCCAGCTAAGCAAGTGATGAGAATTACAAGCCTCTGTTACATAAAAAATAAATTAAATTTAAAAAAAGAGTTACAAGGGCTGGCCCGGTGGCGCACTGCGCTAGTGCGCCGCTTGGGGAGTGCGGCGGCGCTCCCGCCGAGGGTTCGGATCCCACATACAGACCAGTTCCCGCTCACTGGCTGAGCGAGGCATGGGGGCAGCGCCGAGGGTTGCGGTCCCGTTGCCGGTCCCAGTCCGGTACGGGGGCGACACTGAGGGTTGCGACCCATTGCCGGGCACGAAAAAAAAAAAAAAAAAAAAAAAAAAAAAAAAAAAAGAGTTACAAGCTTCTGAAGGGAAGAATAAGATTTAGGAATGTATTTATAATAAAATTATCTTTGACAAATATTTGCTGAGATTTAATCCCTGTTCCAGCATACAACCCTAAAAGTGTTTTCAGAACCCTGAGAAAAATTTTCTGAAAATCATCTTCCAAAGCTGACTCTAGGTTTTAGCAATAGCTGAGATACATAGTTAATTCACATATTACTTGAAAGTGTACATAATCTTCAATATGCAGAGTATCAAATGCAAAAGTTACTAGTTAATTTAGCCTTTTACTAATATCATAAATATTTCTGTTCTCAGAATGATCTTCTGGATGTAGTGGCAAGTATTGACTTATCAAGGAAGACAGTCAAGAGGATTCGGATAAATTTTGTCTTTGCTCTAATTTATAATCTGGTTGGAATTCCCATAGCTGCTGGTATGTGACTTAACTAGTATGGCTTTTTCCACTGAAGTTATTAGAGACCTACCATATTGGAAGTTTCAGTTTTCTTATTATTAGCTTTGAGCTTAGTTTTTATATGTAGACTGCTGGTGTAGTGACAGGTAATGTTAAAATCAATAATTTTAATTTTCAGCAGTGTTCATGTATGAGCATCCTGCCGGGTTTCTTTTCTTTTTTTCTCCAACTTTATATTTATAAACTTACATAAACATTGGAAAAAATGGTACATTGGAAAATCTGTATACCCTTCACCTGAACTCACCAGTTGATAATATTCTGCCACGTTGTTCCATATACTTGCACACACATTTGTATCTACTTATGTAATCATTTTTTTTTTTTTTTGCTGAAGAGAAAAAATTTACCTTTAATCTCACTACCCAAACACAATCACTGTTAGTGTTCAGTATATCTCCTTCCAGTTTTTTTATTCTGCATCAGTTTTTGTCTTGTTAAGTAGTTGTGATTATAGCATACTGAGAATTTTCTGCTCTTCACTTAATATTCTATTATATTCAACAGGTATTTTTCTTAGGTTGATAGAGCAGATGAGAGAGATATTGAGCAAAGGAATATGACCAAGAAAAAGCAACTTAGAATTGTTGGGCTGGCCCGGTGGCGCATTCGGTAGAGTGCGGCGCTCCCGCCGAGGGTTCGGATCCCATATAGAGACCAGTCAGCTCACTGGTTGAGCGCGGTGCGGGCGTGACACCGAGGGTTGCGATCCCATTACCGGTCACAAAAAAAGACAAAAAGGAAAAAAAAAAAAAAGAAGAATTGTTGAATATGCATATGAGAATCTCCTGAATTTAGGGACATGGTAGGAGTTAGTAATGACAGAAGAGAAATAACTATCACTTTCTTCTTGTTCTCTCTGGCTTGAGAGCCAAAGAAAGACATGAAATGACATGAGAACAATTATAAAGCAGTTTATCAAGAAGGACACAGAGGCTGAGAGGACAAAAAATAAGAGAACAATCTAAGTCCCGTAAGATTAATTTGTGGAGCAAGTGATTTTTAAAAATTCTACAAGTAATATATGATTACTGTAGAAGAGATAGAAAAATACAAATAAGCACATTAAAAATTTAAAAGTACAATAAATCTATTTCATTCCCATCATATGAGCAATATTAAAATATATGCCCAAAACAAGTGTGGATGACTTTGTAGAACATGAACTCTGTACGCTATTGGTGGGATTGTAAGCTAGTATAGCCACTTTGGAGAACAACTGAGGAACATCCACCTAAAGTTGAAGATGTGCCCGTGTTACTACCCAGCAGTTTTACCCCTAGATATATAGCCTAGAGAGATTCTCAAACACAGGAACAGGGAGATAAGTACAAGAATATTCACAGTAACACTCTGTCAATGACAAATTGGCAACAAAATAAATTGCCATCAAGAGGATAAAATGCTGAAGAAATATCAAACAGAAATGATTTCTATGTATGTTTTAAAAACACATTGATAATCTGTTTAGTACTGTCTAACTAATCCAAACTTGTTTCCTAGGAGTTTTTATGCCCATTGGTTTGGTTTTGCAGCCCTGGATGGGATCCGCAGCAATGGCTGCTTCATCTGTTTCTGTAGTACTTTCTTCTCTCTTCCTTAAACTGTAAGTACAATGGCTTGCTCATGTTTGTGTTTCATATTCCTTTTATATCCATAGTTAGTCTTGGTAGGTTTTATTGTGTTGATCAATGATAAGCCCAAACGGTTCTTAGTAATAAGAATTATTGTTAGCTAATAATTAATAATAATTACCTATGTAATTCGCACTTCATGTAGTTTATGTATAGCAACCACAAGCACTCAGTGGGGTAAAATCTAGTACACTGGCTCTGAGAAGTAGGATTTCTGATCATGTGACTGACTCCACACAATTCATTTTGAGCTACTTTCCCCGCAGTGACCACCTTTGTGCATTTTATATCAGTTAAATCACCTGCTTTCATTTGTTCTGAGTAACAAGCATCTAGTCCACATTTGGTTATTTCAAACTAGTGTGTGTGTTTGCATGTATTCAGTTACAGAAAACCAAGTTATGAGAATTATGAAGTGCATGCCCGGAGCCAGATAGGACAGAAGAGTCCTTCAGAAATCAGCGTTCATGTTGGAATAGATGACACCTCAAGAAACTCTCCTAAATTGGGTTTGCTGGACCGGATTGTTAATTACAGCAGAGCCTCCATAAACTCACTGTTGTCTGATAAACGTTCCCTAAACAGTGTTGTTACCAGTGAACCTGACAAGCACTCCCTCCTGGTGGGAGACTTCAGGGAAGATGATGACACCGCATTGTAAAAGGCCGCTGAGAGCACTGCTAGTTTAACTTCTTATGCACTGACACAGTATTCATGAAGTCACCTTAGCTTTTCAAAATATTGTTGAAGAATTTTATGTTGGTCTTACGCTCTTATATTAGGGATTCTATTTGAGTTGCATTTGTCTAATGGCAAAAATATCTTTTTCCGGGCATCAGCTCTGAACCTAGCTTTATTTAAACTGAATTTCTTGTACTTTTTGTTTTCACTAGCAACAGATAAGGTAGAGCAGTGAGATTTACAACAAATCCTACAATTAGAAATTGCTGAATTGCTGCTAAGTGATAGATATTTTTTTTATTTGACCCCCCCCCCAAAAAAAAAGCCCAAAAAGAGGATAATTAAAAATTTAAAGATTTGAGAGCATGACCTTTGATCCTGTATCCCTGCCCCATTGGGGAGCAATGACTTTCAAATCATTGTATAAAGCATGTAGTTTTAGAAGGGAAACAGTTGAAACTGTTCAAAAATAGATGTGCCTTATTTATTGCAGGCTTTCTTTCCCCTCTGCTCTCCCCACATCCTTGTCCTTGCAGTTGCTTTCTTAGATGCTCCAGTGTGTCTTTTATCTTCTTTCGAGTGAGCCAAGTTTAGGTGGTTTTTCATTGATAAAAATAACTGGCAAAAACTTTTCCAATATCTTGTTCCCTTTTTTTTGTAGCTCAAAAGACATTAAGGGTCTGCAGGGTTCCCTGCCTCACATCTTTCCATTGCTGTAAAAAATATATTAATTCTTCCTTCAACCTCACTAACTCTGTGCTAGATTTCAATTCACTCCTGCTGAGTTGATCTGTAAGTTATTCTTAGTGCAGTCTATCAGTATCAGTCCAGAAACTTAACACTTTGAGTCTCTTCTACTCAAAAGATTTTCAGAGATTAACACTATCTTTAACATATATGGGTCATATAAAATTACCTGGATTCACTAAATTTGTCTTTTTTTGGATACAATACAATCACTTTGCTAATATAAATAATTTAATAATAGATTTTAACTATCTTTTAGTATTCCAGATAATCTCTCAAAATGATTTTAAAATAATGTTATTACACAAATCTGCCTTTACCAAAAAATACAGTAAATTGTAATACAGAAATTAGAATTTCCGTAAGTTATGATACCTTTTGGCCAAATATATACTTTTCTCTAGTTTAAAACATTTGCACTTGCCTAGTTTGTATGGTTGGCAAATTAAGGGGCTTGTTCCCTTTGCCACATGGATTTACAAATTCCCCTGTGAGTGTCTGGGAGCTAATACACTGGTCAGAGATCTGGTACTTGTATGACTATTTAAATTTCCTTGTTAATTGCAAGATGGATTTCATATGCAGAATATGTAAATGAAGAGAACTCATAAGTAAATTCCTAATATTTTGTTTCCATTGCCATAGGTAAAGCAGCTAGCACAATGCCTGGCACATAGGATTTGTACTCAGTGAATGTTAGTTATTTTCTCCCCTTGAGGTTGGTAATAAAAATAAAAAATCATTTTTATAGAACAGAGTCCAAAATCAGGTTGGGGTGGGGGATGAGGTTCTTTTTCTCCTAACCCCTGTCTATTTTATCCTTTGATACACACACACACACACACACACACACACACACACACGTTTACAACATTGTTCTGTGCTGTCTTTTCAGATCTGGAAAAGATCTAATTTCTATCTCAGCTAACTTAAAGAGAGAGCTGGAACTTGTGATCTTTTGATGAAGGTGCTATTAATCTAGAACGGCAAACTCATTTTAATGAAATATGAATGAGTCTGTATGCTTAGGCTCTTTTTTTAGACCAATGCCTATGCCATCTTCCATGCTTCTAGTCTGAGTTTTAATATTTGTTTCTTATTTTAATTCCAGTGGCCCAGCGTAACACAACTTGTTTCTTCTAGAAGAAACAGCTGATATGACAAATGTATAATAGATTTTTCTCACTTTAGAGCCAAATTGAAAAAAGAAACATGTCTCTCTCTCTCTCTCCCTCTCTCTCTAGCAATTGAACATAGCCAGTTACTATTTTTATTATTATGTGTCTGTTTGAGTTGTCCTCCTGCCCTCACGTGTGGGAGTAGCAGCTTATAGTCTGGGAATAATCAAGGATATAATTTCAGCTCTTACTACAAGAACAGAAAACATGCTGTTTAGAAAGAGTCCTGCTTTAAATATCTGTAGCCACATTTGAATTCTCTGCCACAAGTGTCTTTTGCAATCTTGAACTCCCATTAGCTTCAGAGAGAAGCTGTATTCATAGGAGAGAGGTGATTTATGGAAGGATCAAAAACATTGCTTGCAGTTAGTAACTAGCTTTAAGTAACTAGCTACTAGTGAGAACAAATTTTATAAATGTGTTTGTATGTGTATATGTTTATTCACATACATACACACACATATATATGTACACACATATTGATACACACATATAGAAGGAAGATGGTTTTTATTTGAATTTGATATTTGAATATTTGAAGTTCTTTATTTGTATTTCCTTTATCACTCTTCTGTATTCACTCAGCAACCATGCCCTGAGTCTTCAGATAACAAGGACATTGTGATATCCAGTACTGGTTCAGACTCAACCATGGGGCACCATTAACTTAAATATCCAAAGATGCCTTTTGAATTTCAAAGATTAAAATACAACTAGCTTATTTAGTATTGTAGTCTAAAGAAGTATGGTTGTCCCTTGTGAAAATAGAAATGTTATTTTTCCAACTTTAGTATCAACATTTTAGAATGTTAAATTTGATGCCTTGTGAGCAAATTTTATATTGTGCTTTAATTTTTTAAAAAATTCTTTATTCAGATGTACATGTTTAAAATAGCACCATAGATAAAATGTTTCCAGAAAATCATGCATATCTTTTCTGTACACAGCTTAAGATAAAAAATGTATGTTAGAAAATTTTTTCCATTATTTGTGGATCTTGCTTTAAAATAATTTTTCTTAATATTTATTTTACTCTATTTTGTTATTTGCTTTGGGTGAGGCATCTGGTTACTAGTTATTTTTAAAAGAATAAAGACATTTCTGGAATCACTCTCTTTGGGTTTTTGATTTGTTTTATTTCTTTTCTATATTTAAAGAACAAAAGTATTATTTTACCAAAATATAAAAAAATATATAGATTCATGTCAAATTATCCTATTTTTATACTAACTCTCTGCAGTTCCTCAATCTGGTCTGAATAACCAGATAATGGACAAAGCATGAATTCTTGTTCTTCAATAAAAAGAGCTTCTTTAATGGCATTGATAATAAATGCCTTTTGTAGCCAAAACCAGGCGTCTCAGCCTTATGTTTTTAGTTAAAGAGATGTTCAGCTAAACGTTGTTAAACATTGATTGGAACCCAAAACAGCAATGGACGATGTTGTGCAATATTCATCTACAGTGTCAAGATACTCAATAGTTTGTTTTTCCATAAGCATGCAATTGATCACATTTCTGCCAAGGATGTGCCTTCAACTTTATAATTATAGGGTTGTAAAAAAATTTTTTGTCAGTGTCTTTTTTGTTAAATCATCCAACCCCTTCTACCAGCAGTTCCAAACTATGGTTGTTGTGTTTTTAGTTTAGTTTTTTTTTTTTTTTTCTCAACTGTTAATCTACAATGGGACAGGATTGGAGACAGCACCATGCATTCAGTAAGGGTGAGAGGGAAGAAATCTATTTTCCTTCAGACTCTACTCCACCTACCATATAATTTAGAGAGGATGAGAAACAAAGGAATATAACTGTCCTCCTTTCCTTTGTAATCTCTAATACAGTACATTCTTGATAGAGTGTCTACCCCAAATGAGCTAAACAGAGAAAAGAGCTTTTCTTGCCTTTGTGGAGCCCTATAAGCGTATTTGAAGATCCTGCCCAAGATACATTCCCATACCAAACACTCCTTTGAGTTAAGGAAAAGGTTTTAAACTTATTTGTAAGGAAAAACTCATTTCCGTTTCCCCCCAAATCCTTGGGATTACCCAGGGTGATGAGATAGGATTGGAAATGGGAACATGAGTAAAAACCCGGAAATGTCCATTCAGCTGGCCACCCTCCCTTTTCTGTTGGTGTCCTGACTAACCTCAGAAGAGGATGTGCAGTGATAGCAACATCCCAGGTATATATACACGATGGACTACTACTCAGCCATACAAAAGAATGAAATTTTACCATTTGCAACAACATGGATGAGCCTGGAGAAAATTATGCTAAGTGAAATACCCAGGTACAGAAAGAGAAATACCACATGTTCTCACCCATAAGTGGGAACTGAATCCATAAATAAATGAACAATAAAAAGAGGCAGAAAAAAACCCCAACAATCACTGTCATACATTGAACTTTTAGAAAACAAAGTGGAGAAGGGGAGGGAGGGGAAGAGGGAGGGCGGCTAATGAGGAATTGGTCAACGGACACAAGGAATGATTGTGTATTGTAATGATGAATAAGCTAACTATCCTGATCTAACCACCAATTGTGTTGCACACAATTATTGAAAATCAACGTTGTAGCCCACATGTATGTATAATAAAAAATAATAATAAAAAAAGTGAACAAAAAACCTTCCAGATCCACAAAACAAAACAACAAATCATAAACTTTCCTGTTGAGGAATGCTTGCTAGGTTAAGGCATTGAAAGCCCTGCTAGAATTCAAATAGAGACAAAAGAAATAGAGCTGCCTCTTTCACAAATTTGACTAGGGCCAGTCAGCCCTTCTTGCTTAACAGCTTCATCTTCATAGGTGTGAACACTAGTTGCAGAAATGAATTGCAAGTGACAGACTAAAGGCAAGGCTCTTGAGGGCAAGGTGTAAGTGAAGTTGTTAGTAGAAAGAGGGTCTCATGCAGTTTAAGAAGTCTGAAAACTTCCATACAGTCATTCCTCTCTCTGGAAGAGTTTGAAATAGGCTTAGTAGTCCTTGGCATACTGTACCTATTGCCCTCAAGTAACCCCAAGCCTTTCATTGTCAGTACCCTCTCCTGCTCCCCAAGCCTGGTTTATAAACTGAAGTGCTGCCATTACTTCAGAATTACTTGCTTGACCTCACCCAGTCAAAACTCCAGTTTTTTCATTGCGGTTATTATTGCCAAGTATAGGACAAAAACTGAAAAACTCAATTCATCCTAAAGTGCTAATGACATTTAGATCTTGACAGAGGTATTTGCAATAATTGGAAAGGAGTGCTTTCCAATACAAATGACTTTATAACTATTGAAATGAAAAACATAGGCCATTATGGAAGAGGTTATTTGGGGGCAAGTAGACCCCAGGATCAGCTCTCCTAAGCTGTTCTTCTTTGCAGCTTTTTGCTTTTTACCTTCTACTTTTGTATCCATGATTTCTTTAATGCCACCACATCCCCATAGTGATGGAAAGAACATCAATTTTGGAGTCCACCAGACCTATTTGCAAAACACGAATTCTGAGTGGGCGGAAGAGGAAGAAAGGTCACAAGTTTTGTTTTAGAGATAATTTTGATATATTAGGTATTCAGGAGGAGATGTCAAGTTGGTAACTGAATATATGAAATTCAATTTCAGGGAAAATGTCTAGGCTGAAATGGTAAATTTGGGTGTTTCAAAAATGCAAAACTTTTCAATTTAAATAGGTGAGATTTTATTTCTCATATGCCAAAACACTTTCTGATATCTTTTGTTATCCTCACAAAAAATAATCCTTATCATCTGCAGTTTATAGCTAAAGTAAACAATGTTTCTTGGTTCATACTCATAGATGATGTGATGACTTTGTACTGTGCCAACTTTGGTAAACTGGAACTATATTTAGCAAAATTCCCTTCCTGTATGGATCAGGTTAGGATTAGCCACAAAAGACATTTTACCTGAGAGTTGAGAGGCAGAAGTGAACCTGCAGCCAGACATTTTTTTTTTTTTTTTTTTTACTCTCAGAAAGTTGGTGCGAAGCCCCAGACACCATGGTAGCTTGCTCATGTAGTTGCTGACTTCCTGGCTCACCTTGCTGGTGGGGACAGCACCTGAACCTGCAGCTTGTTAGCTACCACCAAACCTCCCCTATTTCAGCTTCTCTAAGACCAGAACCAAGTGCAAAGTGCAGTTTTATGATAAAGGCTGCCAGTTTCTCCTATGGTCACCCACGGCATTGAGATTGGAGAAGTGAGAGACAGACATGGGTTCTGTTTGTCCTCCTGGGTTCCAGTTGTCCTCATGGGTTTCAGTTTGTCCTCACAGGTTGCCCAGCTTGTCCTTGCTCACATTAACAACCAGCTTTTCTCTCTGACTGCCATTCTGGCTGAACTAAAGCCACTGCAGACTCAACACTAGATTCAGAGGCAACAACCTGCATCAATTGCTCCACCAGCTCTGCAGCTGTGTGAGGTCTGACCCCTATAATAAATCCCTTATTCTATATCGCTTACAGAAGTTGTGCTTCTCTGATTGAATGCTAACTGATATTGATGGAGAAAACATGGGTAATGAGAAGTAAAGTGACTTAAGAGACCGTAGGGAAAGTGAAGGAAAATGGTCAGGGCCCCTTAGATATTCAGTTTTGTTGAACATTTGCTGTAAATATGCGCATGTGCCCAGCTGTTGCTTGGTTATTGTCTAATGTAATTGCGCATGTGCATCCAGGTGTTCTGGGCTATGGACTTAAGTATAAAGGACGAGTGGCTCTGATCCACAGTGCTCCCCGCCCCTGGGATGCCCCTGAGAGGGCTATGGGGAGGCCGCTACTGCTGCTGGAGGCTGTTGCTGCCATTGCCCCCAGGATGCCCCAAGAGGCCACTGATGCTGCTGCTGCTGCTATAAGCTGCTGCTGAGGACTGAGCTCATGATGTCTGCCAACACCTCCTGGGATTTTTCCCAAATTACCTAGCGTGGGCCCGTGTGTGAGGGGTTTATGACCTGGCCTGGCATGTGAGGGGTCTGGTGACACAGTCTGTACAATGGGTTTGAAGGGTCTGAGCCCTAGCCCTGACAATACAAGTGGAAATTTAGCATAACTGAAATAATGAAACATTTTGGCTTTAGTTATGAAATGCCTAGCCATACAACTAGCGTAGCTATTGCCTCAAGCTGACAACTGGCGTAGTTGTGTAGCTTTATAATTGGTGTAGTTGGCAGGATTCCAGGCAGGTAGAAGAGCCTGGCAGTTGGCGTGGGTAGGATGCCAAGCAGGTAAAGTAGCAGAAAGTCCCTTGGGAGGGGAGGAAATGTGGCTACCCTTGGGTATGTGATGCCCGGTGGCTGCTTTCCTATTGACTGGGGTCTGGCTGTTGCTCTCTGTACTGCGAGCCAACATAGACCAGAAACCCCATGAAGCAGCACAGCTTTAAGACTTGCAGCAGAAAGCAAACAGGTTAGAAACAGGAGTACATGCCCTGGAGGCTGAAGTATAGCAACAGGTCACTTCTGCTTCTGACACCGGGGA